TTTTACTTTTATCTCCAAATTTCATTTTTAGTTTGAAAAAAGCTTTTCTTCTCTGAACATTTTATTTGCATTAATTTAAATGAATCTCAAATCTGGGCAATGAAGGGAAAAAAAATCCTTGTCTGAATTGTTTGACATCGTCAGTGGCGCTAATGTGCCCCTAGGATTTTTCTTTAAAAAAAAGAAGACACGCATTGCTGTTGAAACCCACATCAAATGTTACTGCAAAGTCGTAGTTGAATTCAATAAAAATGTTGACTGGGAAGGTCGGTGTGCACATAAATGGAAATTAAAGAGGTCCTAGAACCAACTTTTTTTACATTTGTAAACTTTTGATTCTATACAACATATGAAACTTTGCCCAGGAACCCTGATAAATGGCCAATCACAACCTTCAATAAAACTGGTTTGCTCCGCCCACTTGGCCAGGACACAAATATGAAATGAGCTGCATACTGATTGGCCAGTTTTGCTCTGATGGCTTGATGACCTGCCTGAAGCCATAGTAACTATTCACAGTTGTGTACACTATCAGGATAACTCAACAATCTATGGCCCAATCGCAATGCTCTCACTTCCACCCCTGCCTACCAGTCCGGGGGTGCAAGTGCGTAGGGTGTCCCGATCCTCAAGTGTGGAAGTCGACCGTGACACTTTTGCACCCTTGATCTGCACTTACCCACAATCAAATGGTGCATGGGGATTTTGAAATGAAAGCGGAACAATGGCTTGAATGCCTTTTCAAAGGAAAGTTCATTTTAAGACAATTAATGATATTTCTTCGTGCTCAGAATGCTTTAGACTAAGAATTATTGTTGTGAACAGCCATGGAGGGCTCTAGTTTCGTTGCGCCGTTCGTGTCAGCGGACACGGTAGGGTCGGGGAGAGGGGCGGGGCATCACGCTTAGCTTAGCGGGTGGTCAGGAAAAGCCTGGCGGGGCCGCAAAGCTTAAAGCGCTGGGGGAAACCCTGGGAGTGTGTTTAAATGTATGCCATGGTAAACTAACTCTGAAAGAAGCATTGCTCTTTGTCCGTTACATTACCAGTTTACTTAGGAGGGCAGGTCAGACAGCTTTTTGGATTGGTACATTGGACCCCCAGGTTGTCCATATTCAACAATCGTAATGTGGTTTTGAATTGTCATATTTATGTCTTTGCTGTGCCACTCAAACTGTTTTCATTGTAAAAACCATGAATTTAATCCTTTTGTCATTTTAAAGTGTCACTTAAGTTTCCCATTCTGCTTTACTGGTTAAAACCAGAATTACAACTGTTGTAAACCACCCTGCAGAAGGCTGCTGTTGCTAGCGCTAACAGTGACACGAGCCAACTGATCCTAAATAAGCCACAATGAAGATCCACAGTTGGATAAAAAGTATTACTTAAGTCCAGTAGTAACAAAGCCAGGTCACCATCAGTCCATGGTTTCGTACCGTCCTTAAGCTAACTCAAATGAGTGTAGGCCACACTCACTCTAATTTTAGCTCTTTGCTAGTGATTTATGGCTCTGTCATTGGAGTCGTACATTAGTCGGCCATTTACCTCAAAGAGCCGTTCAAAAGACTGGCTCCTTTGAACAAAGTGAAGCCAAGAGAGCGAGGGGTATTTCCTGCGGTATCCGTGAGGGCGCACAGGGTTGTTTAGGGTTCCTATTACGTCCGTCACAGCGGTGGGTGGGGTTTGAGCGGGTGCGCGGGGAGGTTTGTTACCAGAAGACGAGATGAACGGCTTTCTACAGGGACTTGGCTCTCATTGTTCACTTTGAAAACCCGTTCAAAAGATTCGATTCATTCGTGAACGTCACCTCACTACTCTTTGCTTAATCTCCAAAGACATTGCTCTTACTCCCAGGTTCTGCCACAATACCAGCAAAAAAGCTAAATTCTTCTTGTGCTTTTTATTGGTCAGCAAACTGAAAAGGCTAACTGCTAGCCTTTATATTAGCTATCAGTAAATGGCTATTGCCATAAAGCAGGTGGAGACCTCCCAATGGGGCACCTACCTGAACCACAAAACCGTTAAGTATAGTTTCTGGTCAGCAGAGGGCAACAGAGTGCTGTCCCAGTTTACAGCTCAAGAACTACCGAATCCAGTTTGAAAGCTTAAAGTGTTAAAAACCTTTTATTTCTACTTAAAAAGGAAAAACACCATCCATAAAAAAAAGTTAATGCCACTATGCTTTCAGTCGCTTCAGCCAAAAGTAATGAGAGTATTCCTTAAGATCCCATCATCTCTGCAGCTGCAGGAGCTGCTGTCATGTAGCCGCTGTTGTCACCACCATGGCACGAACACATCAGGAGAGTAGAGCCACCAGTCCTCATGCGGGCTTTTAAACTGTCACAGCACATGGGAGCTTTAATCCACCTGGGTACGCCTCACAGGGTAAACAAGCCTCAAAGCACCCAAACGTGCGCTCACACAAACAGCCTGGAGCTGTTGGAGGAGCTTCCTGAACAAGTTAACTGCAGGAGAGGCGCTCCAGGCGGAAAACCTGGAACGATCGGGACGCAGGCCGTTCGGTGCTATGTAGGTCAGTTTGTAGAGGAATTCTAAAAACCAACATTCTGGTCACGTTGAGTTTAAATTTGTTTTCAACACTACACAGCGACGACGGTGAAACACAACATTCCTGCAGGAGATCTTTATTTATTCAAAAGGTTTGATGTAACTTCAGAGATCAAAAATGTGTTACCAGACAGCCTGGGTGTTTCTAGCCTGCTTTGGGGGTGCTGAAGCACCCTTAAATCCATCCCTAGCACCCCTAAATTTTGACATTTAATTATCTATTTATTTTTACTGTTTGTGGTGATTTTAACACATTAGTAATATCTAAAAACCATACAATAGGTCAAAATATTAGGTTTTAAAAACAAAAATACAGCTAATCTCCCCTGTCTCAAAAATGGTTTGATCCTGCTCACCTTCCCAGACTTGGCTCTGAGGCTCTGAGCCTTCCTGAGTGGCTGCTGTGCTGCTTTAGGGTGACCAAGGCACCTGCTTTCTGTGGGACAGTCCTGAATTTCCATAATTTTTCACAGGTCCTGCTAATTGAGACACCGTCCGGCATTTTTGACTGTCTCCCATTTCGTCTTTAAATCTTGTATAAACTGATTGTGAGGTGAAAAAAGTGGCTGTCAATCAAGCTAGGAGGCGAGACTTTGATGCAGGTCTGGAGCGTGCGCTGCTCCTGAACCTCCAAACCAAAAGGAAACGACAGACTTACGGACTAGTGGGAGACGAGTACGGCGGAGAAATGCTGTTACAATAAAGACAGAAGGGTTAAAGAGCGACTCTGTGATGGGTCAGTCATTTCTCTGTCACCATGCTGCTCAGGTTCCTCAGTAATCAGACAGGCTGGCGCTACAGAAGCTGTGTTGTTTCATAGCCAAACCCTTTTGAACAACATGAAAGAACAGTTGAAATAATTTAATTAAAGTCTTGATTAATTATTCTGAGACTTCTGAGAAAGTTAGATTTAGACTTAATGTTCTGAGATCAAAGTCAGTGATGTTTTCTCTCCCCTAAATATCTGCTGTAGAAGATAAAAGCCACCATTTTGTTTTGTTGGTGTTAAAAATTAGGGGGGGGGGGGGGGGGAGACAAATTATCAAAAAGGGTTGGAGTTATTTTTCAATGGGATGTAATTAGTGTAAAATTATGTGAACATAAATATAAATTGATCTAAAAATTATTACTGGTACTTTTAGTGTCATTCTATTGTGGAAATTCAGACAAAGCTAAAAAATTGGCTTCAAATTCAGGTTTCCAAATATTAAAGGGCAATTTCAACCAATTTTTCCACTCACTGAGCATGTTGGACCGGTGGTTCCTAACCTGGGGTTCGTGATCCACCTAGGGGGTCCCCACCAAATTTGTGGGAATTCAGCACATACAAGCACCTCGTGATTTTTATCTTGAGAGGTGCTATACAAAAGACAATTTCTTCTTCTATATTATGTTTGTGCTGAGATGGCGAGGGCACCACACAGCCAAGGGATCCTCTAGGACAGAAGATTGGGAACCACTGACCTAGACTCTAAACCTGGACCAGATTCTGCTACAGTGTTAGCAGAATCTGTTAAACATACATGTTGTGATGTTTAAAACTGTAATTTGACTAGTGAAATCAGTGTTTTTATTTTATTTGATAAACGTGAGAATGAAACTGTTAAAATGTAGAAAATGTTGAAATTTATCTTGCCTGACCGGGAAGATCTCTGAGCACTATTGCATCTAAAACCAAAGTAAAACCCTTTTTGACGTATTGCATAAGAGCTTTTCTCTCATATTACACACAGCGTTGTCATAAGGATAGCTAATCTTTTTCTGAATGTCATAAAGAAATGGTTTCATCTGTCCTAATTACTGGTTTTTGACGAATCTTCACTTTTTGGGACAAACGTTAGCATGTAGCTTAATTAGCTACGGGGACTGTTTGGATTTCTGCACCAGTTGGAGCCACAATGGTGCTTAGAGGTGACTGCAATCAGTCGATCAAGAACGAAGCCTGTTAAAGTATCGTTTCTTTATGGAATTGATCCTTAAACTGTTATTTTTTTCCTGTCTGGTCAATAAAAAAAAAACAGTTTTCCGCCTCTAAAATCATGTCTGAAGTCTATGGTAAATAGCTGTTTTAATTAATCTCCTCCCAGACAGTAGATGCATTTAAATCAGTGCAGGTCACGACTCGGTGTGTCAGCCAGACGATAATGTGATTTCCAGGAGGAGCCCCCCCCTTTTCTCCACGTGTTAACATGCACCACTGCAATCGCCTCTGCTGTTTCAGGGAAATGCGACCAACTCAAATTGAATTTACTTGTGAAAACCCTTTGCAAGATGTGCTGCTGCACTTAAAAGTCTCAGTGCTTCACTCTGAGATCATCGCAGTAAAGCGGGTTTCAGTCGTCGGCATTGTTTTACTAACTCAAGTGTTCGTTGTTTGTTCCAGATCTGTTTTTAATGAGTAAACACAACTGATTCTATTTTGTTACATTTTCCAGCCATTAGAGACTACGAGACTGCCGCTAAACACAGTGAGAATGACCATCAGATCAAAGAAGGCCTGGAAAAAGCTCAGAGGCTTCTCAAGCAGTCACAGAAACGGGATTATTATAAGATCCTGGGAGTAAAGAGGTGAGAACTGATTTTATTTTTATTATAGGAAAATTTTTATTTTTGCATCAGGAACTTAATCTCGTTGTCTAAAGACAATCAAAAATTCATACTTTAGCTAATTAGTGGCTGATCTTTTAAGAAACGAGGTGATGGTTCTCTTTGTGGTCCCAGAACTGCCCAGAAGAAGGAGATTATTAAAGCGTACAGGAAACTGGCACAGCAGTGGCACCCAGACAACTTCCAGGATGCAGAGGAGAAAAAGAAAGCAGAGAAGAAGTTTATAGACATCGCTCAGGCTAAAGAGGTTCTCACTGATCCAGGTAAGTTAGAAGCTGCTGTAAGCTTTGTCCTTTATAAAAGTCTTCACTGTTGTCTGGCGTTATCATTGCCCTTTCACAACAAAGTTCCTCCCTTTTACTTCTGATTTACACCGACTACGGAACAGACGATGTCCGGTTTCCATACAGACTTCTAATTAGGTCGACTGCGGTTTGTGTGCTGAACGTCTCTGGAAATGTGTTCCTGTGAGATCACCAAATCTCAGAGGTTCATACAAAATTTGACTTGATTAATTTAAAGATATACGTGTAAAGTAGATTTTAAAAATTGAAAAAAAAAAAAAAATGCGACAGGTTTATTTTGAAATATACCAGCTGCACCACGCTGGCCCACGTCTGACTTCCTGTCTGGCTTCGGGGGGGGGGGGAAAGAGTACACCACATCTGGTGCATATGGGGAAGCCGTACGGAGTGCGGACTGGATCTGTTCCATACTCGATGTGAATTGGACTTTGGTGTAAAAAGTAACCAGTACTAAAAACAATAAAATTTGTGTCCTAAACAAGTTTCTGTTATTTTCCAGAGATGAGAACCAAGTTCGATCATGGTGAAGACCCGATGGATCCAGAGAGTCAGCAGGGTCACCAACATCAACACTTCCACGGTGGTTTCCACGGTTTCCAGGGTTTCAACCCGTTTGGATCGGGACCCTTTAACTTTAAGTTTAACTTCAATTGAGAAGAGATGTGATCCAGCAGACCTGGAGCAGAGCTTTTATATTATCCTCCCATTTGAAAGGGAGATGATGGACATTATGAAAAACTTAAATTCATTGACTAAAACTTTACATGTGATTTTGTTGCTGAATGATGCAGGGGGGGTGTGGCCGACGCTTCGCTAACATCTGCATCATGTGAGGCAGCCGACTCGTGTTTTATTACTTTTCTTATCCATTCATGAGCTAAAAAATTCAAAACCACATTATTTTTATATGAATGGATTTTTTCCCCTGAACTGTAAATAAAGAGATATTTATGTAATTGCAGCTGGATTTAAACCATCAACGCTTCAATTGCACATTTTACAGAATAAGTCATCAAGACTTCCACAAGTTGAGAATTTATGGGATTTTTTTATGTAGCAAAGATTTATTTTTGTTTTCCTCCATCACACAGTCATAAACATTTATGGTTAACACGGAACAGAAAAAGATGGGCAACCTGAGAGCAGTCTGTCTGCACCCGTTTTTAAAAATCAACTTTTAAGACTGTTGAGCAGCAACGACGGCTCTTATTCCTGAGACACAAACACCGGTGGAAGTTAAACAATTAAGATGATTCACATGTAAACACACTGTAATAGGTTAGCCATCTGTGTCATTATCTTATTCCAAAGCAGTTTTTCAAGGAGGTTTTGATTTGGCACTTCAGATCCCCCCCCCCCCCCCCCCCCCCCCAAAAAAAAAACCCTTCATAAATTAGAAACCTAAAAACCAGCTATCTCATCCCTGTAGATGTGCCCTTTCCTGACCTCGGAGCAGAAAACACCACAAGTCCTCGGCTCGGTCGTTAATGACTAGATGGTGGTGATTTGTTGGGATGCAGAAGCAGGGATCTGAGGATGTAACACTCCGTGGCTAAGTTTAGCTGCAACTGTCTGTCTTCAAGCCTCACAGGTGGCCTGTGTGCAAAAAAGGTGCTGCCGCCTCCTTCCTCTTCAGCGTGGTTCTGGCAGGCTCTAAAGTTCATCACGCCGCGTGTCTGCTGTTACAAAGAAACGGTGAAAATGAGAAGAGGAGGCTGACTGGGGAAAAGGTTAATCATGCAGAGGAATAATGGATGAAGTTTGACAAATACGGCAGTAAAACGGACAGATTTCTTTTAACCTTTATGGTGTTGTGAGGGAGAGGGGTTATGTGTTGCGCCTGCCTCTCCCTGGACTCGTCCCAGCAGCTCTTTTATCTCGTTGTCGTACTCGACCCATTCAGGCACGATCCTCGCTGCAGCCATCAGCTTGGGCTCTTTGGTCTTTGGGTTATTGCACTGCGGCGGAGAGAAGCAGACGGAAACGCATCACTCACACTGACCGGTGGCACTTTGTCCCAACCCGCCGGATCCCCGGCACTGTCTGCGTCAGGCATTAACGTCTGATTTGATTTCCAATTTTGTTAAAAAGACATTAAGCCCGGCCTCGTGGCTGAAGTGGTGACCTATAGCATGATGAGACGATGCTTCCTATTCCACTTCACTGGAGCTTGTCCCGTAATTCCCCACATTAGTTTAGGACTCAGCAGGGATGCTCCTCGGTTGCCTCCTAAATGCCAAGTGCCTTACAAACATCAGAGGTTGGGGGTATGCTCAAACGCTCATGTTTCTGCTGAAAAAGATTTAAAAGACATCGGGACCCACCAGGTCTATGGTTTTAGCTGTAGCTTTAGAAGAATCATCGCACCACGTCTCGCACCACAACCAGTCCTGAGGAAGAGACTGGATGGCCACCTGGTGGATCATGTTGTTGGGAAGGTCCTGAAAAAACAGCGCAGTAACACCTTAGAGCTCGTGCAGACACATGATAAGATCTATGTTCCATTAGGGCTGGGCAATAAATCCAAAATGTATCGTTATCGAAAGTTCTGACTGACCGGTATCGTTTTCTCCGGTCAATAAATTTGATAATAAAAAAAGAAAATGTGTGTGTAGGTTGGCGATGGTCATGCCCCTTTAAGAAGCGGTACCACTTCGAGTCACGTGATGCGATTAAACATGATGCACGTGACGGCCCATGTAGTGGACAACTTTAGTTTCTGCGCATACATGTAGTCATCGTCCATGCATCCGGGTGAAATCCTCCAGATACCGCGATATTGATTTTAGGCCATATCGCCCAGCCCTATGTCCCATAATGCAGCTGGGTTCATCAGCGTACCTGGTCCAGGTTCGACAGACTGTTGGGGTCTTGGCTCAGAGCTTGGTACTGACCACGTAATCTGTCTCCTGCTGCGATTTTACGGAATTTCTTTAAATCAACTACATACAGAGCGCTGCAAGAGAAAACATCTGCTGTGAGTACGTTAAAGGTCTGGACCACTGATCGTTGACTTCTCTGACAAACAGTTCACGTAATCAAATGTCCTTTAGCTTTGCTCGGAATAAACTGCACAAACAATTCATTTGCAGTACGTGGAAAACCAGAACACGAACATTAACTAAAGACAAACAGGCTTTTAAACCAAAGAGTCACAATTCACAAAGATCCAGTTCTATACTCTCGACCTTTACGGCCTCTACACATGCTCCAACGGACTCATGTAAAATTAAATATTGTACCAATCCTGTTTGTATCCTGTAACTGGATTATAATCTAAAATTTGAAAACTCTAAATTCATAATGCAGTTTTATTTTGTTCTGTTTCTGAAATCAATCCAGAAACTGCTTCTTGGTGCAATTCTATCTCAATCTGCATCGTTTTGATAGTACGGGCTTCGTTTGGGAACGGACTGGGTCCGTTTTGGTTGGACTAGATCCAGCGAGAGCAAAACGCTCCTAACGCTTCAGCTGGACTTGAGAGGTGAACTTCTAGGCCTGATTAATAGGTACTATAAAGAAGGCTTTTAACAGTCTAGATCACCATGGTAACCAGTTTAACAAAAAACCTGCTACCGTGTTTTTGAATAATACGTTCAGAAAGTGAGTCTTTGCTTAGAGCAGGGCAGGGTTGAACACCTTTGTACTCTCCACCCTTTTACTCCAAATGCTGAAGGAAACATGCAATAAAAATAAAGCGTTAAGAAAAACAGCGACTGTGTGGTCGCTGAGCTGCACCTGGCTTGAAACTGTTGCAGATCCAGTTTAAAAGGTGGATGCACAGATTTGCAGCATTAATGTAGCAAGATCAAAGCTCAAATTTATTCTACTTATTGGTTCATTTTGCATCCAAATGCATTGAATCAATGCAAACAAAAGCATAAATATGTCTTCACTAATTCAGTTTCTCCTGGTTTATTCATCAGTTTTAGTCTCGTCACTGACCTTTGACATTTTGAGCTGATTTCACTTCGAGGTTTAGGAATTTAAAGGTGCATCTGGAAAAGTGTTTCTTTTCTGTGAAAACTCATCTCTATACTCGTCCCAGACTTCTCTTATAACAGCCTCCTGTGGACCGAGGTGCTTGATAGGTCTACAGTACACCGTGTGAAAGAAATCCCAAATAACACACGCAATTACTCTTTTTATGGGCACAGAGCCTGAAGAGCACAGCTTGAGTAAACAAGAAGGTTGATAACCGTCATCATGGTACCAATTTCTCTGATTGGACTTTTTGCTTTTGTCAAAGCAGCTAATGGAGAGATCTGAATTATCTGAGGACTATAAAAGAAGATTCTGTCAGAAAAGATGCAACAAAATGTTTTTTTTTTTACCTTTTTCTGTTCTCATCATTCCTTTTTTTTTAAACATATGTTTGTTTAGTTTTTTTCTTCCCCCTTTGTTCCCTTTACCCCCCTTCCATCAACAGTATCCAACACAAAAATATAATGTACATATGGCAGGTATTAAAATACTACTACTAATAATAATAATTAAAATGTTAATCCTAACAGATTCAAGGTAAGTAATAATTTAAGATAACAAACAATGCAAGCAAATAAGAGAAAAAAATAATATTAATTTAATAAATAAATAAATAAATAAAATTTTTAGGTTACACAGTATATTCCCAACAACACGTCAGACATTGTTCATCATTGTCTAGTTATCTTATTCACCCCTCGCCCCCCTCCAAATCCCCACTCCTCAGTAGATCCAGAAATATCTTCCAAATGTTATAAAATTCAGAGGCCTTCTCTTTAACAAAATAAGTCAGTTTCTCCAGAGCTAAACTCGATGTTACGTTGTTTAACCAGTGGTTAAAAGAGGGGCAACCAACATGTTGGTTGTTCTCATCATTCTGTAGAGAACTTAATCTGTTATTTCATCCACCATCTGCGTTTTATCTGAAATCCGTAACCAAGGAGACAAAAAGGGCTTGACTCACCTGATGTGGTACCTCCTGTGTCCAAGATGCGAGGCCCAGTAGCCGCTTTTCCAGAAGCGGTACCCGTCCATCTCTCTGCGGCTATCGCAAAAAGGTGTGTAGCCATAAGGAGCGCCCTCCAAGTCTAAATCCCTCAACTCTTTCAAATCAGCTCGAACTATCTGTGAGAGGAAGAGGGGGGCACTTTGATAATTCCTAAATATGATTGGAAACACTTCAGTCAGACTCCAAATCCCATCAAATCTTCACACCCGCAGCGAGACTCGTTGGACATTAAAGCTCGCCGTGTGGCTCCATCAGCTCGATTTGATCCCTTACCTGGTCGGCGTCCACAAAGATGATCTTGTCCACGGCCAACGGGAATAGAACATCCAGGAAGAGGATCTTGTAACCCCAGATAATCCGCTGCTTCTCTGTCTGCTGGTGGAGCCAGCGAGGCCACTTGTACTGAACTAACTCGAACTGAAAGCCGTAGGACTTGGCCATGTGGGAGATGGTCTCCTAACAGGTCCAGAGCAAACAGCCAAGGTTAATGAGCCCAGAAGAAATCAGCAGCATGTTTACAGAGAAAAAGAAAAACACACTTTGAAAGAAGGGGAGAGGTAATTCTTGAGGAACCAGAACTTGACGGGTGTGTTTGTGTGCCGAAGGACGGACAGCATCATTATTCTAGAAGGAAACAGGAAGGAGACGGGATTAACAAACAGGATTGAAAAGTTAAATAACAATTAGAGAGAAACGACCGACCTTAGAAAGCGTTCGTACAGATGACCGGAGGCCACGGAAAATATGTTCAGAACATCCTCCTTCTTGTCTCCATCATCCTTCCTGGCGCCGCCGCCTGTGATGCTGCAAATGAACCCGTAATAGGTGAGGCTGCTGCGCTGTGATTGATGTCCGTTTCTCATAAAGCAGCAATAAATCGATACTGAAGCCGTGGCCATCACGTTTCCATAAAGCCACCAGTAACGGTTATAAAAGCAACACTTTCATCCCAAGCATGCAACACTGCAGCAGCCGAGGTGTTTCATTATTATAAAATCTGAATAACGGTGAAGAAATTACAGTTTTAACTTGATGTCAACAGTCTCAGGTCCTGCTGGTGCTCATTGAGGGCTATACTCATGCTTACCCTCACAGATACCTGAGAAACATTCCCAATAACCGCTAGATGATCTGCAGTAAACAGGATAGTTATGGAAGGCAAAACGCAGCCAGATTTGCTGCATTTAATTGTGCAAAAATTCTGGAGCACCTTCTAGGAACGGATGTCCTCCTGTGAGACATGTAGAGTTGTAAATAGAGTTTTTCAGTCCACCTTCTGTCTAGTGTTTAAAGCCGAAAGGAAGTCTTGCAGGTTTTTTTTTTGTTTTAGACACTTTTTGCGGCAAACAGTGAAAATACCGTCTTCCATTCAAGCCAGTCAATTACATATCGTGTAGTAGAACCACAAAGAGGTAAAATAACAATGCAGTTTCAATTTGAACCATTTTAAATACATTTCTGTGTAAAAGTTGTAAATAATTTACAAACTCATGAGCTTACGGAGTGGCCTCAATTCAGAGGAATACTTTTAATCCAGCAGGACTGATAAGCTAATGGCTAATATGAATGCAACTGAGACCAAAGTGAATTACTGTTTTAAATGGCTTTAAACCCCCATCTCCTTTTGATGATCCCTAATAAACCTTTAAACCACCCGCACACTGCTGTTTACAGACATAAAAACCACCACCACCATCAGAAAAACACAACACTTCTGGTGCATCCAGGAGTCAAGTCCTGCAGGAACATTCCTACCATAATAAATACATACTGTGAAATAGATGCTAGTGTATAAGTTTAAAGAGAGCACTGGCAGAAACTGCTGCTACATTTGAGACACATCTACTGATGTTCCAAAGGCTGACACCAGTTTTCACTTCTGATCATCTGATACTGACCTAGACTAAAAGTAAACAAAAACTGCATCGTATCCCTTTAAAATTGGTTGTTTCGGTCGATTAGTGAGCCAAAATTAGCTGTAAACTCATTTTCAAGAGTTCAGATTGTCCAGAAAGGGTAAATTGTGTGGAAGGTCTGGTTAAAGGGATGGAATGTGAGCCTGAACTTCACACCAGCGAGCAGGACAGAAAAGACCAACAGCAGCTTTATTTGTTGGTCAGAGATGACCTCAAAAAGCAAAAGTTATAAAACCCAGAACAGCAGAAGATTGAAGCAGGATCTAAAGGACACGGCCCTGACTCATGAAGGCATTAACATGCCCTTAAAGAGCAACGGTTCAGGATTCAAGGCACATTTAGTGGACAGAAATCAGGACTTGTGCTGGAGGGTAGATGTGTCTGCAGTCAAACTGTGTGTCCTTGTCTGTAACAGACTGCTGATGAGGGAAGGGGTGTCTCTCCCATACTCAATCACAACCACAGCCTCAGCCTCGAGGCTACAGGAAGACACCAGGGAGAGAAAGGGGAGGGGATGGTGAACAATGCCCTCTAAAACCAACTCCCTGACAAGCACCAGCTCGGCAAGTTACATCACTGTGAGATCAACTCTGCGATGGACCACAACAGCAAATGGGTTTTAGTTTATTCATTTGGAAAATGTTATGAAAAATCTTCTTCCTGTGTTTCTAAAACCAAAGTGTTTCTCTATTGAGGGAAATTCCATCTCTATTGTTGAGCTGTTGGCTTCTGGACAGTCCAGTAAATATTGATAGGGTCTGGGGACACAGATAGCCTAAGATGACTAAGCCGGCCATTATGAAGAGCCTTCAGCCCAACAATGGGGTCCCACAGATAAGCAGATTTACAGGGTCAGGTGAGAGCCCGTTTGGCTGGATCACACCAGATAATCTGGACCTTTGGAAAAAGCAGCAACGCTCCAGAAAAACCCACACCGGACTAAACTTCGCTGCAGTTCAACCCCATAAATCTGTAGATTGGACACATTTTTTTGTTTCTTCGTTACGAGGACAATGTCTACAAAGACATGCACCAGATTTAGCCACTGGCTAATTTCCATCTGCAGTCCCCAGAGTAGGTGAACACATAAAATGCAAAAACAAATCAAAGCCATTAAACATAGATACAGGGTCACAAAATGCAGAGTACTTACAAATAAGGAATAAAACAGCATTACGCCCTCATTTATATTAACACTCAGCTTACTGATCATGAATCCATTTAATCTGAAATAAACAAATAACATTCATGTTTATATGAAAACATTCTTACTAAAAAGAATTTGGGGGCTTTGCAGGAAAAACATTATTGAAGTTATTGCAGTTTATAAACCATCAAGAAGCCTGTTCTAATATTTTTTTACTGGTGGGGTGGATGAACTTTTTCTGGAACGTTCTTGCCACATTGCTTGAACTGCTCTCCACACAACCAATGAAAACCAATAAATGAAAAGTTTTGTCAAAAAGATGATATTTTTAATAACCCACCGGAAACATACAGTCCAAGGTAAACCTGATTTTTCATTGTGAATGTCTCGTTCTTAAGTAAAAGTTCTACAGTGAAATATTCACAGAACAGTTGAACGTCTCAATCATGGTGGAAGGAAGGTAACAGATTTCATTGTCAGCTGGCTGCAAGTTTTCAGGTTTTATGCTTTCCAAAAGGCTAAGGAGGGAAATAATTACTGTTTACAATCTGTGAGCCCATGAGGTTGCCGAGTCCACGCCAAGCTAACGCAGCAGCACCGGCATTTGTAATTTGAATTTGGCAGGCAAAAAGCTCCAGAGTTGTGAAAATAATGTAAGCCAGTAAACAGGAGCGACCCAGAAGTTATTTCTTGTACCCTAAAGAAGTCACATCATCCTTTTGTTTTACTCTAATATCTGGTACAGAAGGCTTAGAGGCTAACATTGAGCAAACAATGCTAACAGTGACTTAGAAGCAAATACCATCAACTTGATATTATGGTGAAATGAATGTGTGAAGTGAATAATGAGTAAATTGTGGCATTTTATTTCCTTTAATGAGTCTCTCAGAACTTTTTAACAGCAAGCTAACAGCAAGACAGTAAACAACTGCACTTCCTTTAATGCTGGAGGCAAATTACCATAATAAGTGATCTGTACCATTAAACACCAAAGAGTGCTTACTGTGTATGACTCGTCTTCGCCTATAATCTAGAATCTTCTGGTGCTGATCCGTAACTGGCAACAGCCATGAAACTCACTGAACAGGGGTGAGATGGTCACCTTTTGTTCACAAAAACTGTCTGCAGTACCCAAATTTGACCACATGATGTCGTTCTTACTTCATTATTACACACTGCACCTTTATTGATAGGATTATTATCCATCCATCCATCCATCCATCCATCAAACTGCCATCTGACCATCCCTCCCACACCTGCACATACACATCTATGTGCACAAATCTCAAATTCTTGGCTCAGAGCGGTTCAACAGTAAACAAAGCCAGAGCCGAGCTACATATACTAGCTAGCATACTAAACAGTTACATGGTTAAGTAGGTTTGTTACGTTTGAAATGATGGAAGCTAAGGTGCCAAAAAAGGGGTTGAAAATGTAAAACTGTTCTTGAAAAGGTTATGGCCAAGAAAAAGCAGATGAAGATCAGAATAAAAGCAGTGTGCATTGATGATGCATTTGAACAATGGTGTCAACTAAAGAAACAGAAAGGGCTGCCATGGTGTTTCTATTTCTTCTTGATGGGTAAGACAACATTATGTTTTTATGGTTGTTGGACAGTATCCAGTACATCCAGCATTCTTCTGTATTCTGTAGGCGTGGCTTTAAATCGGATATCGGTATCGTCCCAAATATTTCATATCGGTGCAGCACTAAATCTAAATATAGCTTGCTCAAGCAGCTTTTTCCAAGAACTCCTACCCTACCTTTAAACAACAGGTTCTATATATCTGATTCTGTTACCTTTCTTGACATTTTCCACCAGAAAGGTCTCCACTAACACCAATCTTCTAGCCCTACACCCAACTTCTTAAATTCAACCCAAGTTTCTATTCAGACTTAACTAATGGATAAATACACATTGCGCACATCTTATTGTGGTATTGATAACCATAAAAAAGTCATACATCGCTCTCATCCACCAAAAATATTTACTCGAGTAGCACAAGAAGCAACAAAAAAAATGCATGCTAAGTTTTATGTGTTAGATGGGTTCAGGCAAGACTGCCTACCTTTTCTCAAAAGTGCTCCAAACACTTCACACAGCAAGCATTAATTGAGGAGAAAGGACCACACAGTTAGGAAGTGCTGCGGGAAACACCCAAATGCACACACATACCTACAGAAGCACATATTTTTTGCAAGACTGGATCTTACAGCATAATATTGCAGTCTTGATCCTGGGGAGGAGTAAAATCTCCTGAAACCGCATCGTATAATAAATAAACGGGTAATACATCAGCATAACAACTTTTAAACCCTGGAGGTGGTTTAACTGTGACATACCTTACTATGGAGTCCCAGATGCCTTTGCTTTCACTAGTTTCACTTAAAAGATCCTCATTGATGTTCTCTGCTTTTTTCTGCACCTGTGACCATAAAGAGGACGCGTAACTTTTTCAGCTCTACAGATTTGATCAAACACTGACCAAAGATGTTCTGGAAAACAGTTCAACAATCTCATGAACTTCACAGCGTTTAATATAAATGACACATCGCTAGAAGAGATTCTCACCTTGACTTTGATGATTTTACTGTGGAAGCTGTTGAGGACAACTATAACATCACCTGCATCAGCCGGGGAATCGGTCCCATCATGACTGAAAGATGAAATGAAAAGGGGTAAAATCTTTAAAATGTTGTAGTCCGATTTTGAAGTAGACTTTTATAAATACAAATATCACACAGAAAGAAATTCAACCTTTTATTCCTTTAACAAACTAAAGATTATACTCTAACCCTTCATGAACTGGAATCATTAAGGAAATAAATAAAATTTAATTCTTTACACAGCTGCTTTAAAATACACTACTAACATTTTACATCACATCACAAAAAGGTAAAACATTAAACTAGAGTAGGATGTGTCAACCAGCAGTGTAACAGGGATCCTTCATTTTGACATCACCACTTTGTGCACCTTTAAAATGTAAAAAAGAAAGTTTGGATCAAATCAATCTGCATATTCTACGCACAGCAAAAGCTGCACAGCAGGCTCTAATAATGGAGTCGACCGCCTTTAATGGACGGAGCGCTAACTGTCAGAGGGAGTACGTACTTAAAAGCGGATACTGGGACAGCTGCCAGGGTCAAAACCAGACCATATTCATTACCCTCCATCATCGTTAGGAATCACCTCACCATTATTTTGCCCATCACTACTTCCCAGCCATGCTGTATATACTGGTAGATTTAATGAGAAAGTCTGTACAGTATTGATTGTGTAACACAGCCTTCCAGTGTAATTGTTTTAGGACTGATTCCCCCAGCAGACAATGTATTTTGGCAGACACAATCTGCGAGCTCTAATGGTGGAACACGATGGAGCGAACTTGAGGCGAACTGACTATGATGCACCGCAGGCCATTACAACCCCAAATGCTCACAAAAGGCAAAAACTCTAACCTTATCACTATGATAAATGCCCCCACCGCAGCGAACCCGAGGCAAATCCCTCCCCACCTTCAATAGCGCTGCTTGGGTTTCCCCCTTCTGCTGTCACCGGTGCAAATCAGCCTTTAGGGCTACTGTTGGAAAGCACCAGAGATCAATCTGTATCCCTGCAATGTGAGGAGGAGAGTTGGTCGTCTCATTCATCGCTGTCAGGGCAAAGCGCGGCGGCGGCGCGGACTGCGAGAGGAAAATGCACACTCTGGGACTCGGGAACACAGACGCTCCCAATAGGCTCTGATCGGCCACCTAACCAGAGCAGAGTGCCGCTAACCACAAGAATAATGACACTGCCAAGGTGAAAAATGACATCACCTCTTAGCTTCACCTGGAGGATTGGGGGATAAATCTCAGTTGTCTGATATGATTGCGGAGGAACCGAGGGCTGTATGTGTCCTAAATCTTGTGTGAGGCTAGCCAGAACGGATGAAATCTGTGATTTTAGAGACATCGAATTCTGCCGATGCAAACTCATTCACGCGTGTGATCATCACTCAGATGTGCAACAACGTAGAATCACAGGGAGCATTTAGTACAAAGTTTAAAAACATTAAAATGCTAACTTAAACAATTGCAATTGTATTTTATTAAATTAGCCAAAGTTCAGAAATATTTGGACACTTAACAAACATATCCCTTCTAAAAGTCTTAACTAGAACCCATTTTACAGTCTGAGGAGGAAATCGAGGAACCTGCTGCATCATCCCTCCAGTACGTTTTTCTTTCTAATAGCAGATCTTTCCACCTACCTGTCTTTCCCTGCTTCTAAACTCAACAGAACTTCCTGCACTCATCAAAACCTTTCTTTGCAACAGAGTCAGCAGCTCTTCATGTTACCATAGTGATGGTTGTCATTGTTGCCAGCAGGAAAGCCAGAGGCAGCTGAAAACAACCTCAAAGCAAATATATGAAAGCAACTGCCATATTATCATCAATGCCTGTTGTCTGGTGTCCAGAACATATTTAATATCTCTGGGACGCGAGAGAGAAGAGACTACGGTACTCACGTGATGATTTCATAGATGTCTTCTGATCTGCCTTTACGTAATCTTAAGGTCCATGCTCCAGGATTGGCCTTCAGTTGGAAATATCCCTGTGCAGATTGACAAACTAATTAAAAATTTAACTCCAGCTTGTTTTCTCAGCTGTAGCACCAAATTTTATGTCTTTCCTGAAGAAAGGTGTAGCTAAAAAAGAGAAGGGATGCTGACCAGGTTAGCCATGACAATTGTGTCATACATGAGTGGGTCCCGGCTCATGCCCAGGGTAAACTGCAGCCCACGAGGCGGCTGACCGGTTGACAGGTCAAAGCAGTGGCCCTCCAGCAAAAGATGTTCCAGCTCAAATTCTGCTGCCACAACTCCTTTCACCTGGGAGATAATCATAAATTACACAGCAGCAAAAACCCACCAAAGTGTGAAAGCATTAGTGCTGTACCCTCACGTGAGTTAGCAATGCCTAAACACCTCAGTACCTCCTGCAAGTGGATGTTGTCCAAGTCATGAAGGCTGCTCACTGCCTGCACCATCCAGCTCTCCGGTGTGATCATATTAAGAGTGAGGAGCAGGGATTCTGGGAGCTCGGTGAAACGAGCGACTGGGCCTGAGGACACGGTCTCGTTGGCCAAGAACGTCACGTCCGACTCCAAAACAAAACGATAAAAACTGCAAAAAACGAACACCGGCTGTGTTATTGTGACGGCACATAAGAACGATGATAAAAGCTAAAACAAATATCCCTTAACAGAAGACATTCTCCACAATCTTCAGTCTAGAACAGAAAAGAACAGGAGCTACTGTGACAGCGGTGTGGATGCGCCTTCAAGAGAAGAATCTAATAGTATTACTTCTAGAGTTCGTGCTCAGCCATTAACAAATTCTTGCAGTTGCCCAGACCAGAAAAGTTCCCTTTTTCCATTTCTAAAGCTTGGTTTATGCTTGACGCATTCACTTTCCGCTTGGTGATGCGGCTCGTGGATGGAACGCGCTTCACAACTCGCAGCGTTTATGGTTCGTGCGGCTTGTCTCTGCGGTGAGCCAATATTCTCCCAAACTGTAGGGGGCAGCATGGAGCTCTACAGCATGCATCCAACATTACACCATAGTAGAAGTAAAAATGACTGTTGTTTACAACATGGCATTTCAGCATTTTTAACAGCGTCCTCGTCTTTTCTGACAGTGCGATCTATTTCTCTCCAAGAATTATTAACAACATGTTGATCACGGTGATCTCTGAGAGCTGAATCATACAAATGTCTGTATTTATGAACCTCTGCCATACTAGTTCTTGCCGGTCCGCCATGTTTTTCTGCGTCCGACCGTCCGCGTGGTTAGAAATTTTCCTAGGTGCGCGTTGCGGAAATTTTGGGCCGTTAGGAGGTGCGGTGGAGGGGCGTGGTCAGGGGTGGACTGGCCTATCTGGCATTCTGGCACTGTCCCGGTGGGCCGCTTAGCCAAGTGGGCTGCTTGCCCAGCTTGGGCCGACACTACTCCACAGTTGGTGATCTGCAGAACATTAGCTACATGGTAACCCGAAGCTAACAGAGTTTTCCCAGGCGTTTTTAGAGAGAAAATTGCGGTAGAGCGATGACGTAGGAGTTGTTTTACCACGTTAGCATATAGCTAATGTCTCGCTGATCTCCGCCTTTGGAGAATGAGCTGATCTTGAAGGTCACGGCTCCTGGTCACAGCGGTCTGGCACTGCTTGTAATTTAACAGTCCCAGTCCATACTAGATCTCACATTCGGCCTAGAGATGAGTCTGTGGGCGGCAACAACCCCACCCCCACCGCTCTCCCAATTGGGAGGGCCGACGATTCGTAAAAATGCCAGGGCCGAATTTTGGTCCCAGTCCAACCCTGGGCGTGGTTGTCAAAATGACTCAATTTCGCCTCGCGGACGCGTCAAGCATAAACCAACCTTCAGGCTGTCACAGAGCCAAGTTTCAGCCTGGCTCTTTATCATAGTCACGGTTTCCTTCCTACAGAGTTAAGAAGAGTTATTTCCTTTGTAATGTTGTGTAATGCTGATTCTCCTAATTCCAAGACCTTTCTTTGACTTGCATTATTTAAGGGGTTCATTTCCACTCCTGCCCTGGATTTGTTGACTTCTCTACTATGACACTTGTTTTGGTACCACAGGACTAGTGAGTGGTGAGAAAACGGCCCAGAACACCAGAGGAAACATTATTTTAAATCATTTGGCTCAGAATTGTGACCAACTTGTCACAATGAGGAAAGTGATGGACACAAAACAGAACTTATGTGCTCCTGCTGATAGCAGGATCTCCAGGGGAGGACTTTAAAATCACCAAGATCGTAGCTATAAAAGTGACACAGAAGAAAAAGGATGTTACAAGCCTCCTTCCACAAGTTTAATGTTTTAATGGTCCGAAGGGACATAAAATTGGCCAACAACATTAGTTCTTGTAACTGAAGGCTAGTTACAAAAACTAACAATCTACAACGATTGCTGTGTTGAGCTCAAAATTAGCTATGCAGATTATCTGGACAAGAGTCCAACTGACAGAAAGACCAATGTGGTTTTCATCCCAGTTGTCCCACTAGCAAGGACAACCAGGGGCGCCTCCAGACAATTTTGATAAGGGTGGCCAGATGGGGACAAAGAAATATTTGGGGTGGCACACCAAATTGGTCCTTGTGGTAACTTTGGGAGAGTTTAACCTGTGGCAATGCACTGCATTGCTCCTGTATTAGTTTTTATTACAAAAAAAAAAAAAAAATTAAAGAAACGTATGTATTCAAAACACTTGACTCAAATTTTACAAACAAATATTTCCGAAAAATACATTTCAGTTATTTAAAATGTTATTTTAAAATGTATTTTCAAACAATTTTTATTTTTTTGTTTAATTTACCAGTTGCTGTGTTCACAAAAAACTACGGAAATAAAAACCTATTATTTTTTTATTCTGGTTATTTCTTTACTCGTTAATTGCTTTACATTTGTCTTGAATAAATAAGATTCATTTATCATTTTTGTGAACATTAATATAATTTTTGCACTGGCTTTTTCTGGGGGGGGGGCCAGAAATTTTGTGTGGTCCCCCCCCCCCCCCGAAAAGAAAGGTGACCATGGCCACCCCTTGGGGGCGCCACTGACTTGAGGGCCTCAAAAGGTTGAGATACTTTATACAAGTGAGTTTTTTTTTTTTTTTTACACAGAATGGATGGATTCGCCCACAGAGACAGGGTAAGGAGTTCAGCTGTTCAGGAAGAGCAGACTCATCCCTCCACTACATAAAAAGGAGCCATTTGAGGGAAATTGGGCATCCAGGAAGGATGGATAGATGGATGGGTGGACTGCGTCAATAACAACCAGTTCATGTTGCGGGGGACAGGAAGTTGACGGAGTTGAGAGGGTGGACATGTAAATTATTTTGTGGCCAAAGACTTTACGTTAATAAACTTTCAGCATGTAAATGCAGCTCTATCCACTGAGAAACTAACAGAGACTGTTATGACAAAAACAGAAGAAATGCATCCACCAAATCAAATAACAGGAAGCTGCATTCACCCAGGAGGAGAAAATAAAATCTGCTACATTACAACTTCACTGCATGGCGTGAACTGCAGCAGTGAATGTTGTAAGCAATTTGCCCAAAGATGCAGTCAGAGGCCCAAAGCAATAAGGTGGTGTTATTAAGCTGATAACATTTGTGCAGTAAACTCATACAAAGAGACAAAGCGAAGCAGAGATGCTAAACCTGCAGCAGTGAGCGGGTAACACAAACAAGCCAAACTAGAATATTTTTAATTACTGATGGCGGTGGAGAGCTTACCTCTTGAGGGGCATCTCGGACAACTTGGCCCTGCAATTCATAAACACCTGCAGTCTCACGTTGACCACTTGACTAAGCACCTGCAGCATTCACAGGAAGAAAAACTGTATTTATAAATAAGATCAGAACATGTGCACTAAAGACGTTTACATCTTATAATAACATTATAATTAGCCCAACGCCAATGTTAGCATTTTTTAACATACAGTAAGGGTTAGACAAGTAAAGCTAGGTCGATATTAACTGATATTTAATTACATCGAGTAAGGCTGGCCGATAGAATTATAGCAATATTTATTTTGAAATAACTTTTCCTCGATAGACATATGAGAACAGGTCGATAGAACAGATGAACAGCATATTAAGTGTTGCTGGAATCTTCTAGCCAGGCATGCCAGACTCGACCTCTGTTTAATCCTGCACAGAGAGAGAGTCTGGTAACTCACAGGCAGAGAGGCACATGAGGGGCGGGACTAGCCAGCTCAAAAATAACCAATCAGAAAAAAGCTAGAAATGCTGACTGTACCGCACAACGCTGTAGTTTTTTTTTTTTTTTTTTTTTTTTTGCTGTAGTCAAAAATGGCGTCTGGCGACAGCGCAAACATCTTTCTTTAGAAGAAAGGCTTTTAGCGCTTCTACTTGTAAAAACATGTTGAAGTCGTTTAGAACAGGGGCAAGAGCCGCAGCGAACTCCGCTTCAGTCGCCATGTTTATGACAAACTCAGCGTCGTGGTGTGTGACCATGTGTGTGACGTATGCTGCTCAAGGCTGATTGGCTCAGTTAGAATTCTCAGGCAGTAGGGTTATTTTAATAGGAGAGCTCCCAGACGCTCTCTGTGCAGAATTAAACAGAGGAAGAGTCTGGCAGGCCAGGCTAGGCGTCTCTGCCTGCCCCAAAACAATTCTTCTTATCTGAATCTGGTGCCCTGGAAGCCTTGAGCTGCGAGAAGAAAAGCCCTCCATGAAGGAATGCAAACAAATGTTTATGTTCCTTTATTTGGCAGACGCTTTCCCCAAAGCGACGTACAATTTATAACCTATAGGGCATGTTATGATCTGTGGGGGAAACCGGAGAACCTGGAGGAAACCAACGAATGCATGGGGAGAACATGCAACTCCACGCAGAAAGGCCATAGCCGAGTTTCGCACCTGCAAACTTCTTGCTGCAAGGCAACAGATGCTGTGAAGCCCGCCCTACCCCCTGCCTTCAGATTGGTGGTCTTAGCCTGGCGAGGTCAACAACTGAAGCAGTCAATGTACTCTTCAGTCCTTCGATCTCCCGCCCACCGGAGTTTCAACAGTGATCGAGCGCACCGGGTTGCTTCTCTCTCTGTGGAGCTGGAGAAAGGCTTGTACTCTTTTCCAAATCAACCGCAATAATATCTCAAATTGATAGCAGCCCATATTTTCGTACGGGTGCATGTCTCAGTATAGTAATAATAACTATTGTCAGATTATTGAGCAAATACAAGGTGAGACTATCTGCATGCTAAACTAACATCATGCAGAATGAAAATTTAACTTTCATTGCTTTCAATGATTTTCTGGGGACAGCAGTAGCTCAGGAGGTAGAGTGGGATGTCCAGTAACTGGAAGGTTGCAGGTTTAATCCCGGCTCCAACCAGAAATTGTTGCTGTGTCCTTGGGCAAGACACTCAAACCAACTTGCCTGCTGGTGGTGGTCACAGGGACCGGTGGCAACAGTGTTCAGCAGGCCTCGCCTCTGTCAGTGTGTGTGAATGTGTGACTGATTGTGTTGTGAAGCGCCTTAGGGGGTTGCTAAGAAAGTGCTATACAAATACAGACCATTTACCATTTTGACTAAAGGGAAGTCCACAAAAGACAATAGAAATGAAAATAACATAGAAATTATACTTGGAATGTATGATGAGTGACCTTCAGAGCAAAAAAACAGCACACTAGTTCTCAGATTCCTGCTTAAGGCACTAAAGGCAAGAGTGCAAACATCTTTTCTACCAAGAGAAGATATTTCAATAAAGAAATGTCTGCATTGTTTCTGCTGGTCAACACAATGACTGTGTAGATGGTTTTGGAACAACTCGGTGCCGGACGAGATGGATTTTATTGAGTTTTTCTGTCCCAGATGGCTACAAACTTTCTGTGCTGATTTTAGTGTGTTGTTGTTTCAATCAGGAATTGATGGAGAAAGGAGCAGAGGAAGATTGCAGCTTACAATCAGCAGCGAGGAAATCTTCTGCGCCTCTCTAGTGAGGGGGTCAACGATGGCCACGACATCATAGAACACCTCATTTTCACGAGGTGCGAGCTGCAGCACGCTGCTAGAGGAGCAAACCAAAATCAAAAGATTCACATTATTTTAAGAATAAAATTCAAAAATTCACACCGCCTACCTGTTGGCATCTTTGAAATGGAAATCTCTTCTGACCTCTCCTTTGGGGGCTGCAGCAAGGAGGGCATCCACTTTCATCACTAAGTCACTAGCACTGACAGAATAAAAGGTTTGAGAAGACGTAAAAAGAATTTCACGTCATTCAGGGTAAGAAAGAGTTTAAAAAGTAAAAGTGATGCACACATTTTTATTAACACTAAAAAGGGAAGGATAAAGAACACAAACATACTGCTTTGGTTTCATCCCCATCTCCTTTACTTTGGTTTTGACTTTCTCTGCTGAACCACTCAGTGTAATCCTCTCAAGCAAGTGGAAATCCTCCATGGTGAATTCTTCCTGCTCTTCAAACAGACCGAGGATCTAACATGAAGATAATAACGCAGTCAGAACACGACTTCTCCAGTTCTTATCTCAGTCTGTATCACTTACAACCAGCCCAGGGGATGTTAAAACTAATGTGATTGTGACACAGTGTTTTATCCACTTAAAGTCATGGCATTCAAAGAGGCTGCCTGTTATTTTTTTCCTGCTTTCTATTCTGGGAGAAAAGCCTCTCGTGCTGCAACAGAGGACTGGAAGATAATATTAATTGTTACCATCGCCTCCGTGGCTGGACTTCTCAACTTGACTGTCAGCAGAGCTGATGCTGAGACATCAGTCATGAGCTCTATGCACGTATACAGTGAACGGCAAACACACACACACACACACACACACACACACACACACACACACACACACACACACACACACACACACACACACACACACACACAGAGCAAAATGTGCCACCTGTGACCTTTGAGAAACAGATGTTATGTTGATTCGACAGCGCTAGGAAAGCACTCTGCAACCCTAGAGGGAAAATGTGCAGCTGCATAAAGGGTCCTATTTTCCTGCAGCAAACACTTCTGTTTACTATGATGTAAAATTAGGATTCCAAAGTACACAAAGATGGGCCAAATCTACATTGTGACATAATCTGAAGTGTGTGTGGTAACCATATTTATTGCAGTATTTCCATTCCTTCTGTTTATTTATGTCAGAATAACTGATTTAGAACATTCTCACATACAGCAGAACAAAGCCTTCAGCATGTATAGAAGCCATTTAAAGCTGGCCTACACTCATTATTTCTATTAATCTGCTGAGGTCTCTCATATGAAGGAATGTCTTGTGAGTAGTTTTATGTTTAAAAAACAGCTGCGGCGCTCCTGTTTAAGGAGTAGAAGTTTGTCAGAGGAGTGGCAGGCAGAAAACAGTCACACACCAAGGTGGGTGAGTCCATGAATGCTGGTTTACAGTGTTTGTTTGTTTATTTAGATCCCCATTAGCTACTGTTTTAACAGTAGCTAGCCTTCCTGGGGTCTAACCTTCATTCGCAGTTTTACATCATGCGTCAACACTTAGCAAACAATATTTACATCAAGCATGCAGAAAAATAAATAAATTACAAACACATCAAGAAAAACCAAAACAAAATCTAAATATATACGGTATATCAAATGAAATATAAAATCAAATAAAGTCAACTACAACCAAAAATATGACACCTTTGTAACATTCATCCCATTATTGTATTGCAACGTTTGTTACTATTCCCATAGCAATTGTGACCCAAATAAAAATTCACTTTCCTGCTGATAGAACAAAAATATACAATCTAATCCTTTTACCCATAGCGACGGTGGCACAGGAGTTAAGTGCTCGCCTCGTAATCGGAAGGTTGCAGGTTCGAGCCCCGCTCAGTCTGTCGCTGCCGTTGTGTCCTTGGGCAAGACACTTAACCCCCCTTGCCTGGTGGTGGTGGTCGGAGGGGCCGGTGGCGCCAGTGCTCGGCAGCCCGGCTCTGTCAGTGCGCCCCAGGGCAGCTGTGGCTACAGTGTAGCTCATCCCCACCAGTGTGTGAATGGGTGAATGACTGTGTTGTAAAGCGCCTTGGGGGGTTCCAGGACTCTAAAAGGCGCTATATCAAATACAGGCCATTTACCATTTACCAAAGTCCTGTAAATATTCCTGTAAAACTAAAAATTGAGGTAAACCATTCCAGGCCACCATAGCTCTTCATGAATATAGAGCGTTCTATTTTCTGGTAAATCGACTCTCAGTACTCTGTTGTGTAAAATATTAATGTACCTCCCTACGAAATACTAACCTATTGTATAGAATCTCTGGTATTTTTAAGGTAGCGCGACTCGGGGTTGCGAATGACCACAGTCACCAATTCTTGTCATGTGTCTATGTATGTATGTATGTCTGATCTCAGAATTGTGTGTACTGAAACTCTAATTTCCCTCTGGGATTAATAAAGTATCTTTGAATTTGAAATGATAATTATCCTTATCAATTTTATCAATGAGTATGTTATTCTATCCTTTACACCTAACCATTTCAATTGTTGGTACATATTCTTCTTATTCTTTCTAATTGAGCAGTTAAGTACAAGTCGACGTAGATCTGTGTGGCTTTTTCTGACCAGAGCGTTTCGACGTCTATCAGCGGCTAAATAGAAGAAATATCGTTTATTCCTGCTCTTGATTATTTATTTAATATTGTACAAAAGTAAGGGTGCAGTTTTTGGCTTTCCGAGTTTTCCACACTTGCTTAGTTTTGAGGTGAGGATGTTTTTCTGCTCAGCATCTGACTCCTTAAACCTAAACCAGGTTCCTATAGCTAGAGTTGGGCATCGTTAGGATTTGGATGATTTTGGTTCCGATTCAAATTCCTTATTTCGATTCCGGTTCCAAGTGATTCTCGATTCCGAAACTTTCAAGAGGCACGGTCAGAAAATGTACACGTTAAATGAGCCAGCTAACCCTTAAAAGAATGTGGTGAAATAGTTTTAAGATCTTCATGAATTTTAAATACATGAAAGTGAAGCTGCACTTTAGAGCGCGGTAACGCTAACACTTCCCATGGATTCTTCTTCTCTGAAAAACTGAAAATGGGTCTCCGTTCCAATCAATGCTCGGTGTCCAACACCACATATAACTAACATTGCTTCGGTCATCTTTACAAGCACTACCTCCTCCACCTTGATGACATCATCAACATGCCCAATCATGGCAGGCCAGTATATTTGAAATCTGGACTGTTGGCTAGACTGATGTCATTTCTACCTTATACTGTTTATGGCGTCCACTAGTACAAGAACAGTAAATAACGTTTGTTTATCAAAAGGTTTTAAGTTTACAACGCAATAACCCTGACTGTCCTCATTTCATTTTACTGTAACAATTGCACAAGCTTATTATTAAAAACCCCAAACATTCCAAACATTAACAATAATTTACTCACCGTCAATACTACAAATATACATGGTATGTTTATGCAAACAGTAAAACGTTTGCATATGGCAGATGTTTAAATCAAAAATAAGATTTGTATTTTTAAAAGATCAAGGTGGAATATGGAACCCAAAGACCAAAGCGACACCTAGTGTGTGGAGGTTGTAGTTGCAACAACAGAACAAGGGTTCCAGCCGCCAGTGCACCAGGTTAGCTGCCGATACGTTTTGTTTGGATCCATGTAGGCTTCCCCTAAACTCACTCTGGTTTTAGATCTTTTATGGTCACTCCTCTTCTGAGAAGGATAACAACAACTTCTGGGCTCAGAAGCAGCAGCTTGACTTGTCAAGTCTGCCATTTTCCACAGTGCCAGCGGACCGTTTGGCAACCTGCAATGGTGCCATCTGTTGGCTGGTAGATGTAAACATAAACCCAGTGTCGCGCCCGTCAAAATAAATATTTAATAATTTTTTTAAATTAAAATACAGCTTTTAAAAGATGTACTGTACCTTTATTGTGCACACCTCTAAACACCCTGTAGAGGTATTATTTTCAAAAACATTATAAAATTGTTCCATTGTCAGAGTCCAAGCCCCCAGGCTGGGCTCTCCCAGCTGACCGGCTTCTGTCTCGGACCATTACCCAGCATGCCCCTCGCGGGGATTCCCTCCACGTTGCACCTGCGTCATCCATGTCTATATATGGAAGACGCCACACCGGCTCTTCACTCAGTCATCGTTCCACCGTGTTCCATGATCAGAGTATTCAGAAGCTAAGACAGTTAAACCTCCACCTTTCTAACTCAGACCTCATCCTTCCGTCAGCCTTTTCAGCACCGCTTGCAGCCAGCAGTCTCTAATAAAAGCTCTTACTCCCGAACCCAGTCTTCGAGTCTGACAGGATGACTGAGTCCATTAATCCAGCGGAGTTCGAGCAGATGAAGAGGAAGTTGGAGCAGGTTGTTAGCGAGAACGTTCAGCTCCACGCCCTGGTCGACCAGCTTAACACCAGGCTGAACTCCCAGACCGATCTCTCCCTGCAGATGTCTACTGCCGTCACGGCTCTCCAGCAGCAGGTTCATGCGCTCCAGTTGCAAGCCCTCACTCCACCAACGGGAGAGCCACACTTCAGTCTCCCGGAGAAGTGGAACGGAGAGACGGGGAGTCCAGACGGTCTGCTTGCTACCCTCGACATGCAGTTCGAGTGCCACCCAGGACGCTTCCCCACTGCGCGCTCTCGGGTAGCACAGCTCACCTCCCTGCTCTCCGGACGCGCGGCAGAGTGGGCTGCTGCGCTCTACAACTCCAAATCACCGGAGTGCAGCGACTACGCTGCATTCGTGGCCGCTCTCAGAAAGACTTTTGTTCCACCCAGCAGCGAAATGGGGGCAGAGACACGACTCTTAAAACTCCGCCAGAAGGAGCGCTCTGTGTGCGCATATGCGTCGGAGTTCCGCATCATCTCCGCCAAGCTGCGGTGGGATGACTCTGCCCTCCGAGCCGTCTTCTTGGAGGGACTGGCAACCTACATCCGGGATGAGATGGCGGGAAAGGAGCTACCCCAGACCCTGGATGAAGTTGTGGATCTGGCGTTGCGCATGGATCAGCGGGTTTTGGTTCGGCCCAAGCCTCTCATTCGCCCATCCAGGGCGCCTGGACTTTTTCCTCGTCCCCCCACGCCTACTCCCGGACCCGTTGCCACTGAGGAGCCCATGCAACTGGGCCACCTTCCTCCGGAGGAGAGACAGCGAAGGTGGCGCGAGGGCCTCTGCGCCTATTGTGGTTCCCCCGACCACAGACGCATGAACTGCCCCCTCCGTTCGGGAAACGAAGGAACCCACTGAGTCTCGTGGTCGCTCAGCCTGGGTCACCTCAAACCCCTGCCCTTTCCAATCGGCTCCTTCTGCACGTCACCCTCCAATATGGCGAGACCTCGCTCCAGATGCACGCGCTGGTGGACTCGGGGGCCGCTGACAATTTTATGGATGTGGATCTGGCTGAACGTCTACGGATCCGCACTACCCCCTTGGAGAGGGTTGTACCAGTGACCACGGTGGACGGCAGGCCCCTCCAGCCTTACCCTGTCCAAAACCGAACGCAGTCTCTCCAGATGACAGTCCAGGGCCACCGGGAGACCCTCCATTTCCTGATTATCCGTGCTCCCTCCTCTCCTCTAATCCTGGGGTTTCCCTGGCTCCGCCTCCACGACCCACGTATCTCCTGGTCCCAAGCTCGCCTTCTGGAATGGGGGGCCCAGTGCCGGACCCACCTCTCTCCTCCTCCACCTCGACCTGACTGCCCGGAAGGTGGATCCGGTTCAGCGCCACCCAATCTGCCACCGCCCTATCGGGATCTGGCCGCGGTGTTCGATAAGCAGCGAGCCACCGCACTGCCGCCTCACCGTCCATACGACATGGAGATCAAGCTCCAGCCAGGAACCATTCCACCCCGGGGGCGCCTTTTTTCTCTCTCCCCCGCCGAGTCCAGAGCTATGGAGGACTATATCGACCAGGCCCTCCAGCAGGGTTTCATCCGACCCTCGTCGTCCCCAGGTGCTGCAGGCTTCTTCTTTGTGAGGAAAAAGGAGGGTGATCTCCGCCTCTGTATTGACTACAGAGGACTGAACAAGATCACAGTCAGAGATCGCCATCCTCTGCCGCTTCTCACGTCCGCCCTGGATGCCATCTCCCAGGCGCGGATTTTCACCAAGCTGGACCTCCGGAGCGCCTACAACCTGGTCCGTATCAAAGCTGGAGATGAGTGGAAGACGGCGTTCATCACCCCCACCGGTCACTGGGAGTACCAGGTCATGCCCTTCGGACTGTGCAATAGCCCCGCCGTTTTCCAACGCTTCATCAATGATGTCCTCCGTGACATGTTGGGACGGTGGGTGTTTGCCTACCTGGACGACATCCTGATATACTCCAAGTCAGAGGCTGAACACCACCACCATGTTCGCGCGGTCCTGACCCGGCTCCTGGACAACAACCTGTTCTGCAAGCCCGAGAAGTGCTCCTTCCACCAGAGGTCCGTTTCATTCCTGGGCTACCTGATCTCGGATCAGGGTCTAACCATGGACCCTCAGAAAGTCCAGGCAGTTAAGGACTGGCCCCTACCTACCAGCCTAAAGCAACTGCAGAGTTTTCTGGGTTTCTGCAACTTCTACCGTCGATTTATCAAAGACTTTAGCACCATTGTAGCACCTCTCACTTCTCTCACCCGACCGAGCCCTCCTGGTCAACCGTTCCGGCTCACCCCAGACGCCGTTCGGGCCTTCCACTACCTAGTCGCTCGTTTCACATCGGCTCCTATCCTGCGCCACCCGGACCAGGCAGTCCCTTTTGTGGTCGAGTTCGACGCCTCGGATGTCGGCGCCGGTGCCATCCTGTCCCAAGGCGGCCCCGACGACAGGCTACATCCCTGCGCCTACTTCTCCAGGAAGTTCTCCACCACCCAGCAGAAGTACGGCGTGGGGGATCGTGAACTGCTAGCCATAAAATGGGCGTTGGAGGAATGGAGGCAGTGGCTTCTGGGCACCACTCAGCCGTTCACCATCTGGACTGACCACCAGAACCTGACCCACATACGGTCCGCCAAGCAGTTAAATCCTCGCCAGGCACGCTGGGCCCTCTTCTTCGAACCCTACGAGTTCCATCTCGCTTATCGCCCCGGGACAAAGAACCAGAAGGCGGACGCCCTCTCCCGCCAGTTCACCCATTCAGCGCCCACATCCGAGCCGGCGCCCATCCTCCCGGAGCACCGTTTTGTGGCCCACCTTGGGTGGCCGTTGGAGGAGGCCATCCAAAACGCCCTCCAGGGTGACCCAGCGCCACCAGAGACCCCCGCCGGTCGGCTCTACGTCCCCTTGGCCTGTCGCAGGTAAGCGTTGTCCTGGGCCCACTCATCACGCCTGTCTGGTCACGCAGGCTTCTCTCGGACTCTCAGGTTCCTTAAACGGGCTCTCTGGTGGCCACGTATGGAGAGGGATGTTAAGGAATACACGAGCGCTTGTGACGTCTGCGCCCGCTCTAAGGCATCCACCCAGGCTCCGGTTGGCACCCTCAGACCTCTTCCGGTGCCCAGCCGCCCCTGGTCCCATGTGGGGCTGGACTTTGTCACGGGTCTCCCGCCGGTCAACGACCTCGACACCATCCTGACGGTCACTGACCGGTTTTCCAAGGCTGTTCACTTCATCGCCCTCCCGGGCCTCCCCTCGGCCCGACGCACTGCAGAACTGTTTCTGGAGAACGTGGTGCGCCTCCACGGGTTCCCGGTAGACGTGGTCTCGGATCGTGGTCCCCAGTTCACGGCCCGTTTCTGGAAAGCCTTCTGCCATCTAGTGGGAGCCTCTGTCAGCCTGTCTTCGGGCTACCACCCACAGACCAATGGTCAAACGGAGCGGGCAAACCAACAGTTGGGCCGGTACCTCCGCTGCTTTGTTTCGGCGCAGCCCTCGCAGTGGCCTAAGTACCTCCTCTGGGCGGAGCTGTCTCATAATCTCCACACCTCCTCGGCCACTCAGATGTCCCCTGTCAAGGTCTGCTATGGCTATCAGCCCCCGGTCTTTGCCCACCAGGAACCCGAAGTCGCGGTGCCGGCCGCTCAATCCCTGGTGAGGCGCTGCAAAAATGCATGGATCAAGGCACGGGCACCCATCACCCGGGCCAACGCCCGTTACTCCAACCAACACCTCCGCAGGCACCGCCCGGGCCCCTCCTATGCTCCAGGGGACAGGGTCTGGGTGTCCACGGCAGGCCTCCGGGTCCGCGCCGGTTCCAGGAAGCTCGCTCCCCGGTTCCTCGGACCCTACCCCGTGCAGAAGGTAATCAACCCGGACACGTACCGGCTGCGGCTGCCTACAAGCCTTCGCGTCCATCCCACCTTCCACACCTCCCGGCTCAAACCTTGTGTGGAATCCTCACTCCTGCCGCCTCGGGCTCCGGCGCCTCCGCCGGCCCGCTTCCTTGACGGTGAGCCCATCTACACCGTCCGGCGCATTCTGGACGCTCGCCGCCGGGGTCGGGGTTGGCAGTACCTTGTGGATTGGGCGGACTACGGCCCAGAGGAACGCTCCATCTTGGACCCTGCCCTCATCTCGGACTTCTGGACCCACCGAGGTGGCCCGGGGACTTCTGGAGCCGTCCCTGGACCGGGGGGTCCTGTCAGAGTCCAAGCCCCCAGGCTGGGCTCTCCCAGCTGACCGGCTTCTGTCTCGGACCATTACCCAGCATGCCCCTCGCGGGGATTCCCTCCACGTTGCACCTGCGTCATCCATGTCTATATATGGAAGACGCCACACCGGCTCTTCACTCAGTCATCGTTCCACTGTGTTCCATGATCAGAGTATTCAGAAGCTAAGACAGTTAAACCTCCACCTTTCTAACTCAGACCTCATCCTTCCGTCAGCCTTTTCAGCACCGCTTGCAGCCAGCAGTCTCTAATAAAAGCTCTTACTCCCGAACCCAGTCTTCGAGTCTGACATCCATATTCAACCTTCAGTCAGTGAAACAACTTAGGAGTGTTTGGCCAGGTCTCTTCAGGGAGATGTTTGTCACACTAATGAAAAAAAAAAAAAATAGTCCAGTGTGTGTGTTTGTGTGTGTGTGTGCGTGTGTGTGTGTGTGTGTGTGTGTGTGTGTGTATGTATGTGTGTGTGTGTGTGTGTGTGTGTGTGTGTGTGTGTGTGTGGTCTTGTACTTACTACATACTGAGGACCATTCTGACCATTTTCCCTACAATGTGAGGACATTTTTTCGGTCCTCACTTTTTTTAGAAGCTTACCAGTTGGTTTTAGAGGTATGGTGTGAATTAAGTTTTAGTTAAGGTTAGCAATAGATCAGCAATGGTTAGGGTTAGTTTATGGGTTAGGCATAGTGGAGTCACAAAAATGAATGGAAGTCAATGGAGGGTCCTCACTATGATAGAAATACAAAAGTGTGTGTGTGTGTGTGTGTGTTTGTTATTTCCTATAACAATGAAGCTTTAATTTCAGTTTCATTCAGTGCTGCCAGAACAGCATCCACTCAGGAAGAGATCCTTTTTCAGAAGCTGTTTATTTGGAGATCTGTCATTATGAGCCACCAGCCACAGGTATTAAGCCTAAATGATGTGTTTCTAAATCAGCTGTTACTTAATGAATGAAGCCTGCCTTACCTCTAGGTCCCAGTCTACACCTGAAGACGTTACTAATAATAATAACACTGTGTTAAAGTCCACTCACTCTGCCATTGCCGATCACCGCTCGTTGTCCAGGACGAAGATTCAAAACATCTCGACAGAACAGCTGCTGACTGTGGATAAAATCCGCTTCCAGTGTGTTGAATTTTTTCTCAAAGGCGTCTACATCCATGCCCTGGAGGAAAAAATAAAATAAAGTTTATTTATGATGTTAGAAAAACAGCCCACTTTGGGAAATCTGAAGCGTTTGTGAATGCCCGATTTTCAGTTGCTAATAAAACATCCAACAGGGTAGTTTTGAGACATATCTCCCATTCAATATGAGAAATGCACTGGAATAAAAAAAAAAGGATGCATGAAAGGTAAAATAACATCTTTGGTGTTTTGCACCTGCACAAATGTTTATTTTTCTTGCAGGGGAAAAAAGCTAAAACGTTTTTCACCCACAGCAGTCAGAAATGAATGAGTGAAAATGAAATAAATCAATTTCTAATTAATATAACAAAGTCTTAATTAAAGCCCAGCCGCATTTGTCCATAATAAATTGGTTGTGGGAGTATTGCAGGGTTTGTGGAGTAGGGTTATTAGTTTCTCCAACATTTTCATCCTCGAGAGATCAGGTGAAATACCAATAACGTCAGCACAATCCAGTCAGCAAATGTGTCTGGCAGCCAATAATAAACTTGTATCCCTTGGCTTCAGGTCTCAAGTCACAAAGCTGCTTCCTACCTATCTTTCCATCACTATTTTCAGCACATTCTCTCCCCATTGTTTAAGGCTTGTATAATTGAAGGGAAGTTTGCTGTGTGGCTCCCAGATGAAGTAGGTATGCCTTCCTCCTGATGGGAAGGAAGGGAGCGCTCCTGTCAAGCCATTTGTTGATTAGTCACAGAGGTTTTTTTCTCTGAGTAGCACCGTGTGGGTGGATTCTGCTCACCACAGCACGGAGAACACCAGGCAGCGGCTGCAGACTGCTTACAGCAGCAGAGTGATGGTCAGGCTCGGCTGAACATACGTAGCTCGCACAATGGAGAGCGGGAGCTCGGCTATTCATCAGCTCCCAGGAGAGCAGCAGGTACACAACACCACTTTTTTTTTTAGTTAAAGATTCTTGACGTGGAGCCCATCTTGTGACGGCCCCTTGTCATTCCAAGTGGAACTGACACCAGGCTGCTTGCCTTGAGTGTGGAGCATCAGACTCTGTTAGCCAGTGGTTAGGTGGGGGGTGGGGGAAGATTGGCTCATCAGTCACAATTTTCTCTGACTCTGAACTCAAATCAAAAAAATGGAGTCGGACGAATCTCTCTGTGTGGTTAGACCCAATCTTTGATACTGAATTTCAGCTATGGATGAAATCATTAATAAAATACACATTTATTATTATTAGGGGTAGACTGATATACTGATCGTCCTATATACGATTCAACACGTAGTCAAATTCAGAGTTCAAAAACTGATTTAGCTTCAAAATTTTTGTGCATCAACTGATGTCATTGGTGACATTTTAGCCTGAAAAAAGGTGAAAATTGTCTAAATATGTGCCATGAAAATAGGCAGTACATATCTGCCTTTGGCTATAGAAAAACCAATATCAGTCAACCGGAAATTATTATTAGGGCCGAGCAGCGAAAGCGCTGCGAAGGCCTATTGTAGGCCTCTGTTTATTTTTCTTCCGCCAAGTAAATTGGCTTTTTGGAGGCCTTAACATACCTGAAAACTCAGGTATTTATGCACACATGTCAGGTGTGGTGTAAAATTTTGTATTTTAAAGGTCCCAAAAAAATCGTAATAAAACTAGCTCCACAGCGCCCCCTAGAATGTGAAAAATACCCCCCTCCATAAAGTTTAGTTTATCGTACAGTTATCACATTTTGTACAATTGTAATACTCAACAGTCCGCACAGAAAAGCCTCTTGCAACCATGGTCAACATCAAACAGGAAGTCAGCCATTTTGGTTTGAAGTGGTGATTTTGACCCCGTTTTGGCCGTTTCTGATTGATTTACTCGACCATTTTTCGCACGATCGTCTCGAAAGTTGGGGAAATTGCTCAGAAGAGATGGGCGATCAAATAGAAAAAAATAAAACTGACTTTTCGTATATGCTGGGGGGCGTGGCCAGGCCTCGAATTTCGACTACTCGCCCAAAAAATATAAATGGCTATAACGTCATATTCGAATAGAGTAGAGTTACAAAAATGTCTGTGGTCATTCAACATCCAGCCACAAACGAAAATGAATGGTCAGATGATAACATCACACAAGCCCCGCCCCCTCAGGACCAAAAAGGTCAAGTTTTCCTGTGATAGGTCCCAAATCGCCCCACTTCACTTAATCATCACACATTTGTAGCTGGTAACTCAAGACAAGTGGGTGTTTCTTGCATCACTTTATGGGAGTTTTCAAAAGAGAGCGGGGCTGTGGCGGCACGGCGAAGTCAGGCATACCGCTGAGACTATACGTTTGCCTCCAATTTCGTCATTTGTAAAGATATCGTCACGAAACTTCTGGTGAGTGATCCTAGTCCGGCCCCCCAAAAAATCTGATGTGAAAATCTGGTGGGCGTGACCTATTTTCTTAAATAGCGCCCCCTAGGACCATTAAAATTGTCAGCCCCAAGCCATGCTTTAACTGAGGACTATGAAATTTGGTAAACTAATGAAGTGCCTCAGGACCTACAAAAAAGTCTCTTGGAGTCAAGCGCAAAGTCGCACAGGATGTCGGTCATTTTGGTCCAAGTACTCGATTTAGTGGTTTTTGCACAAGTTGTTTGGAGAATGATGCCCCGTCGCTCTTTTCACCGATCACCGTGGTTAGATGAGTAATTTAATGGTGGGCTCAGAGAAGATGCTGAGTCAGGGTGAAGTGCAGACGAGGAGACCGTTCGCGGTTTCTGGTGTGGGAGTGGTTGATGTTTATGTTCAGCAGACGTGCCCGGGTGCACCAGACTGCCGGCCAGGCCGGAGCAGCGCGGAGCTGCGAGGGCAGAACGACGCTGCTTGCATCTTTAATTATTATTATTTTTATTAATATCAAACTCAAAGTGTCTCACAACAGCCAAAAGAGCCAAACCAACAATAAAAAAAAGCTATAAAACAATGTTATAAACGGCTATTCTGCATGGGCTTCCACTTCTAATTAAACAATACCGTCTTTTATAACATACATGATAAATTACCCACCTTTCAGAGTCAGAGGACTCCAAAGCGCTTTACGCTACAGTGCATCATTCATGCATTCACACACACATTCACACGCTGACGATGATGATAGCCACAACTGCCCTGGGGCGACCTGACAGAGGCGTACAAACTTCATTAAAGAAATATGAATTACATTAACTGTTTTCCTTTCATGCTAATACTTTTAGTATTAGCACTGCTAATTCATCTCCCTGAAGTTTAATGCAGGAACCCTGCATAGAAATTTTTTGCACATAAAACTTGCTTCAAATAATTGCAGGAATTGTCTTAAATAACTAAAGCTGATAAATAGCATATTTTATCAACAAATAAGCAGATTATCACATAATTAATACAAAAGGGTTTTGTTGAAAATGTAAAAAAGTGATCATTTTCTTTCTCGAGTGACCAAAAGCTGAATTCCTTGGTTTGTTCTTTACCTGCAGCAGTAGATCCTTCATCTTAGTCCCCTGCAGGAGGAGCTGGATGCTCTCCTCCTTGAGGAGTTTCTGCACAAACGCTGCTGCAGCCTTATTCTTTTGAGTGAGAAGGGAGGCCCAGACAGCTCGGTAAACCACGGTGTTGTCTTCACTGGGCTTTTCACCGGGGTTATCTATCACCCCGACGCGCACACCGCGACTGGACTTCTGCACACATAAACACAAAAGTGACAAAACCTAAACATTTTTCCACTGATTCTCGTTTATTTAAAAAATAAATGGCACAAAAAAAAAGAGCATCGGTGAAAGTGTGACTGCCTAAATGTAAAATGAATTGGTTTTGATGTTTTAGGACAACAAAGCATTTTATTTGCTCTGATCTGTATCTGAACCACCTCAGAGCGTTTCATCTGTAATTTGTGTGCAGGGTATTGATTTTCAGTGAACGTGTTTGGCGGCTACAAGCACACCTGCAGCGATTGGATGCCAAAGAGCTGGCACGTGTGAAAAACACAGGTGATCATTAATTCCTTTAGAGCAAAAGGAAAAGAGCGTAAAATAAAACACCTAAAAGAAAAATGTGCTAACTGGACTCACCAAATGCTTCAGAGCATTGAGCAACAGTTTCCTTCCTGAAATCTTCTCCAAATCTCCAACTATCCACACGGTGACAGCAGCCACCCCATCCTCGTCTTAGAAAGAAAATGCAAAATGAGTACCGAGCACTAAAGGTGAGATTTAAATGCACATTCACTCAAACGGGTGAAATCCGGTGCTCCACAGACTCGAGGGCTTTTCATCTGAGTGTCATGATCCTGCCATGCCCTGACCTCCATGCACCATCATTCATCACACTTGGTTCTCTCATCCAGCTCATTCCACACACCTGCCTCTCCTGCTACATAAGATTCGGCCTGCTCTCCAACCATTGCCAGATTATTGAATGTCCTTGCTTGTAGATCTTCCAGCCTTCCTTCCTGCTAGACCCATCGATCATCGACCTTGGTTCCCTCCTCCACCTCGCTTCACGTGTGACCCTCGGCTGGAACCTTACCTGCATTCACTACCCACGCCTGTCCTCTACCACGTCTCTCGCCTGCTCTACGGACCTCTTACAGATCTTCCTGGTTCTGACCCACGCCTGTTCACAGACTCTGTCTCCAGCCTCGCCCTCCACGGGTAACGACACGTCTTAGCTTTTTGCTAATAAAGACTTTTAAAGTGCCTTACTGTGCCTCGGGGTCCTTTCGGGTCTTCAAGTCCAGTCATTACACCGAGACGCCGTTGCACCCTTAGCAACGGATCCCTGTCTGGCATTTCAACAAGAGGGAGTTTTTGCTTCCTCTCACACGGTGCTTCTTGTGTTCAGAACCAGTTTTGGTAAGCTTTGGGTACAGTCAAGAACCACAGCTCTCTTCTCTTGTCTGACATTAAAACTACGCTTCAAAGCCCCTCAAGGCAGACACTGCAGGATCACCATGTTTAACTCTATATTTTATATGGCCAACGCCTCTGAAAAATAAACAGGTTGAAACTGAAGGCTTGACTAAATAATTTAACTTTAAGATGTTGGATGAAAATCTGGATGTTTTAAGACTTTTTAGGGCTTCATTTTTAAGTTCTGAATTTTAGACATTTTAGGAGAACGCTGTTTAAAAGGAAATAAGCAATTTTCTAAGGATTCTACACAAATCAGCCATATTTTTACAACCACTAGCAGGTGATGTGGGGACAGTTGAACACTACATTATGCTGGAAGCAGTGATGCTGACACATCCCTGCACCACCTTAGAAGGTAGGAAGAGGAAGACCTCCACAGAATTAGGAGTTTCAAGGCTTATTGGGACAGCAGTGGCTCAGGGCATAGAGTGGGTTGTCCAGTAATCAGAAGGTTGCAGGTTTGATCCCGGCTCCGACCAGAGAATGCTGCTGTTGTGTCCTTGGGCAATACACTTAACCCGACTTGCCTGCTGCTGGTGATAGTTGTGGTGCCAGTGTTTTGCAGGCCTCGACTCTGTCAGTGCGCCCCAGGGCAGCTGTGGCTACATCGTAGCTCATCCCCACCAGTGTGTGTGTGAATGAGTGAGTGAATGTCTGTGTTGTGAAGCGCCCTGGGGGGTTGTAGAACCCTTAGAAGGCGCTATACAAATACAGGCTGCTTACCAAGTTATTGTTTATATTCAGATGAGAAAATGGAAACGGTTTGTGTCAGAGGTGAGAAACGCTGTCACCTGTCAGAGGTATTTTTCTTAGACACACAGAGGGAGAACTGCAATTATCCTCCTCATCCTCTCTGCAGCAGCACAACACAACTCGGAGCATCAGTAAGCAGTTGACCGAATGCCGTTTAAAAAGCCTGACAGTGGCTCTGCTGCAGGAAGAGCCTGGCTGCCCGGACCAAGGTCAACTGCCTCGTCCATCAGAAAAGCAGCGCATGAGTCATTTTGTTTAGCTATTGCTCATTTTACACATATTCAACTGATATATGAACCATCCCTTCATCCTATCTCTCCTTAAGTCGCTTTCTCTTGCTCTGCCTGATGTTCCAAAGCCTGATGGGAAACATAATCTCTTCAGCAGGCCCTGGGCCTCCCCCAGGATTTCCCTCCACTCGCACAGCCCCAAAAGAGACATCTAACTAGATACCTGAGCCCGGGTGGCTCAGGCTTTCCTACCGGGACAGAATTGTCATTATCGCTGCTGCAAGTGCTACATCAATACACCCGCCAAGCTCTGTTATAAATAAACATGCAGCACTTACTGAACATAAGGCTAGTACTGAACAAACTACTTTTCACAGCTGCAATAATAATCTTGTTAGTGTCAACTAGTTTCATTCAGCTGATGAAAAAATGCCGATACCTACCACTGTTCGTGAAGTACTTCATTCTCTTAGCAACCACAGCTGTTTTGTCCCTGGAGTCGAGGAATGAAAACATATTTGTATCCTCCCAATCATCCAGAGCTGCAAGCAGAGCAGGCAAGTCGGACATGACAAGAATCCAAACAGTGAATCAAAGCTGAACAGGGTAAGACGGGAAGGACAGGTCACCTGGGGTGCGAGTGAAGTCGAGGTATTTTCGGTCAGTGCCTAAAATAAGTGGGTTCATCCTAGGGACCACGTTGGCCTGTTCCATCAGATAGTCCACCACGTCTGAGCTGTCGGTCAGCTGGCCCTTATGTTGGGACAAGAGTTACTTATGTTAGGTATAAGCATGGACCAGCAAGTAAAAGAGCTAATGCACACGAGAAAATGTTCTATAGGATAAATAAAGAGGGGATTTTACCATGAAGGCAGCTCTCTGAAAGGCGGGGGTGGTGTCCATTATGCGCTGCAGGATTATGGTTTCCAAATCCTCTGGGTCCATCTCATCTGGGTTCAGAGGAACTCCGTTAAATAAGCCCAGAGGAAGAGCGCCCAGGCCACTCTTTCTGTAGAAAAGGGCTCCGTCCTGAGTGCAAAAGAAATAAAAATGGCTGCCCAAATGTCCAGGTTTACGCGTAACAGATGGTTATTAAAGGTGTGGTTCACTCGTTTAATCAATATATTTGCAGTCGTACTCGGGGGAAACAAAACTCTGATGCACCTGTTTCAGGAAGTAGCAGAATGCCACATCAGAGGAGAGCTTAACACGGCAGGATTCAGAGTCATATGGGCCATTCCCATCTGTACCGGGTCGGCCCGGGCCGGGTAGCCCCAGCCTGGCCCGGTTGGTTCCACACATCCTTGCCTTAAGCCCATGTGGGCTGATTCTACCCACCAATCAGAGGCTTGCTCTAATGGAAGGTGTGAATTTGCTGTCAGCAGTGGGTGTGTTGGCCCTGGTCGGCCTGAAGCAGACCCCCTCGAGAAGAGGGCTGAGAATGAGCCTTGGTTGGCCCGGAAAAATACCAGGCCACCCAGATATGTAAACAACCTACGCTACCCGGGCCGGGCCAACCCGGTACAGATGGGAATGGCCCATTATTTCCTGATATTTGAAAATCTGGCCTCTGACTGGCTAACAGCAACATGACTCTATCAATGACTCCAACGCTAATGTTTCATCTCCACAAATAACACAAGCCTGGAGGAGCTTTTGCTATGTGGTGGAGTTGCTAATGCTAATGGTTAGCTTCTACCAGTCGCAACGTGAGCCAAGATAGGCGAGTCCATGAATGACAGTGACAGTGTGACATAGATCTGTAAGGCTTTTCAAATCCTAGAGTTTCACTGTGTTTTCTATCAGAAGCTAATGCAGGAGCTGGGCGTAGGAGACTATTTTCATGTTCAGCCTGAAAGAAACGAGTGACTGATAATAATCAGACATAATTAAAAAATGTTGTTTCCGTGTTCCACACCCGTGTAAACAGTTTGATGGCATTTTATATAAAACTTTACTAGCAGTAAATTCTCCAACCAAATAAAACAACATAAAAAAGTATGAAATAAAACGAAGTTAAATAATATATAACATTTTCTGTATTTCCTTAAGGGCAACGTCAAGAGTTCCAGCTTGCAGCCTTGTTCAGGTTCATCCAACTTACGTTTTTTCTAGAAATATTCATTTGTCCATAATACCTGCTGAAAGGACAGTTTTGCTGGTAGTTATGTCTGCAGCTGTAGAAAATGTCCTCTCACTACAGAGGAAGCTCGCCTGGCAGATGCCGTTAACTTCTGTTTAGCGTCGTCCCGGTTACTCTGCGACAGGACAGCCGGTAGCACTGTCCAGCTTTACAGCTGTTTACTTCTGGTCTTCTCGGTCAACGAAGGACCCGGTGTCTGGAAGCGACACCGGCCTAGGTTGACCAGACAGGACGAGTCTTTAAAGGATACAGCCTCTGAATTTGGACACAACTGCTTGTGTAAAGGCTAACGTGTGCAACAGTCACATGTCAGCGGACCTCGATATGCATCTGTGTTGAACCGAACGTTCCATCACAAATAATCCACAGGTACCCCTAATGATTATAAATTATATAAACCATTAGAGGTTTTATCTCACCTTTCTCCCATAATCATACTCAGAGTTGACTCCCAGGACCTTTTCAGGATTGACTTTTGGATATTTCCTCTTCAGATAAGCAGAGATCATCTCAGCAGAAAGCATCTGGCCCTCTTCTACTTGATTATACAGCTGCAAGAGAACGATGCAGCGGTTCAGACTCGACCACCGCTGTCCTCACATCTCTGCCAGTGTCGATCATTCCCATCTCTACTCTGACAAAGCCAACAGCTAACGTAAATCACATTTACTCATCGAGACAGAAAGGAAAAAGAAGCTTTGGAGCTGCAGGATAACGCCAGGCACAATAAAGCAATGAAGGCACACAGATGAGCCGGGAAGAAACACTTGCTAAAACAACAGATTTATATGTGTGATATACTTACTGAGACTATAGACATCACAGCCTGGGATAAATCATACTCGTCTGCAATGTAATTCAGCAGTCTGTAAAATCCAACTCCTGCATCTGAGAAGCCATCAATCTCCTCTTTGGTGTTGACAACAAACACAAATCCAATTCTATAGGAGCAGGGGCAAAACAAGTATTCAATTTGCAGGTAAAATGAAAATCACTAGCTTGTAAAGATTATAAATGCTGAGAGTGGACCACATAAACATCTGTGGAAGTGTGAGACATGACAGCACCAACCGCAGGGGGATTTTATGCTTGTAGAAAAGCTCTGCTAGCTTCACCAGCTCGACGCTTTCTTCCTGCAGTGGATCTAGAAACAGCACCTGATGGTAGAGATATCGACATAAAAACTGTTGTCTCACTGAAATAAAGGAAGAATATTTAGTTTTTATGAACTGCATTTTAAAATGAGCTGGAATTTTTAAAAGAAAACACCAACAGTTAGACGAACACCGAAGACAATCTGTTCTCACCAGGTTAAAGAAATTACGTCTGATCTGCCGTATGACACCAGGAAAGGTGGCTCTGAGGAGTTCCTGCACGCTCGCCGGCCAGTTCCGGTACATCGGGTCGTTCTCAATGTCGTTCATCCACTGGACTCAGGACAGATCAATCATTCAGCTGAATTCTGACTGTAACTCCTAAAAAAAACTCACTATTTCTTCAGAGATGTTTCATATCAAATGCATCGTTGGGTGTTACTGATCTTTCATAGCAACGACATATTGGTCTTTAAAACTGAGGATTCAGCATCTGTTTGCCTCCTAAACTGTTTCTTCTGCGGACAATTGAGAAACATTCTTCACGTGGAGCAGAGGAACTGCTTCTATCAGAGAAATTAAACTAACTAAACACAAACTACATTTTTTTTTCTTAGTTAAAAAAAGGTTTCAGGCAGTTTTGAGCTGGTCTCAGTGGCCTCTTGATTTAAAGAACATCTGCAGAGCTGATGTGACAGGGGATGTGATGAGCTAAGCGTTATGAGCTCACCATTATAGCTGGTTGTCTGATGTCTAAGGCAAAGCTGTCACCCACGGTGCTCATGGGTAACCTCAGCAGCTTGCCCTGATGCTCTCCCTTAATGCCCAAGTTATGAAGCCCCTCCAGGATCCTTGCCTCTGTTCTGATGATGTCCAAAACGCTGCAACAACAAAAGTGGTGATTATAAATGAACCTGCATTGGGCCATTTCTAATCTTCCTGCACCAGTACGGCTGAGCGGCGTCCGCCATATTGGCTCCTACCTGAAAGTGTTGTGTGTGTCTAGATCGATATGCAGCCCGTTGATAAAGAGCTCTCCGTCCCCGGGATGAACACCAATCGTTTCACTCAGATACTGGAAAAACAAGTTCAAAGTGTCGATCAAATGTCACAAATGAGGGCTTCCACAAAGTGATCCTTGACCTTTTAGGAGAGATAACTAAACACAACAGAGGAAACAAAATCAGAATCTAGCTTAGAAAGTTCAACAAGAAGCCGTCCGTCTAAAAATCAAACTTCCACAGAAGTTACCAAAGACACCAGCTGCACCATCATGCAGGAAGACGGCGTATGATATCACACCTTTTGGTTCTTCTCAATTTCTTTTCTCATTTCCTTCTTTACAGCCACTCTTGTCAGTGATCTGTGGGAACAGTAAAACATGTACAGTCACCATCAGCTTTAAGCACATCCCCAGCCAGCTGTAAAATGCCAGTTTTAATCTTCAGAAACCTGTGGGCCTTCAAAACACCCGTCTCTTACTCAGCACTTTCAGCTCTTATTAAAAGCTGAGTCAGAATATGCAAACATGAAAAAGGCTGATTGGATCTCTGTTTAACAGATTAATGCAGATTTAGATGCACACCTTGCACTGATATTGGGTATACCGGGGAGGACACAGAAAGTAATAATGGTCAAATAAAAAGGTTTATATACGTAATATTTCATGTGAATTGTAACAAGCAGCCACCGGGTGTGAATTCGATATGGGTTTTGGATCTGCACCAAATGTAATAGCCAGTCACCCAGACTAAAGAAATAAAATGACTTTTCTTACCTGGCTTTGCTTGGAAAGTTCTGACTGAGATCTCGCAGGACCTTTAAAGCGTCAAACTTTGGCACTGACATGATTCTGGCCGCAGCTTGAAAACTTAGATCTGTGAAGATCACAGAGCAAATGTATTTAAACTTTCACAGATGCACCTCTGATTTCCAGAGAATTCTGTTTTCTGCAAAGCTTTTTTCTGACAAACAAGAAAAACCAGATCTTTAGAAAGACGATCTTTCAATTTTATCAGAAAAAACTAAATATAATCCAACTAAACAATTTAAAAAATAGACTAGGGCTGCACAATATATCGCTAATATATCGTTATCGCGATATCAGCATGCGCAATATGCATATCGCAAAGAACAGATAAATATCGCAATGGATGGTCAGCTCAAATGTTTGCTACACATAACGCATTCTGTCAGTCTAACAGAAGCATGATGTTTTTTAACAAATCAAATAGAGCTCTTCACCCGTTTGGCCAACTGGGTGGGTTAGATGCCCGCCACCGAGGCAGACGGCCCTTAACTTTGATGGTTAGCAAACACCTGCATTAGCTTTGTTCTGCTCTTTCTGCTGATTCTGCTTTTCCCGAGTTCCACTGAGAGCCTGTTCTTGTTCGTTTTATTTTTCCCTTTCCTCAAATCTTTCACTTTTCTCATTTTTATGATTTTTTGTTATTTTTTGAGAAAAGATTTTATTTATCGCAAGTAATATTGTCATCGCAATGACCAGTAAATATTTTCACATATCACAGGTTTTCCTAATATCGTACAGCCCTAAAATGGACACAAATTTGTATTTTCTATGAAAAAATAAAAGGAACATGTTCATGAAATGTACAATTTAAGTAAAATATGTGTGAAATAATTTTACAAAACTAAACTCAGGAGAAAAATAAACATAGTCTTGCCTTTTTTGGTATTTTCTGCTATAGTTTAGTTTAATTAGAAGCAACTAGGGGTGTGTATTAGCTAGAGTCTGGCGTTACGATATTAATAACATGTGAGATGATACAATAGATAGCGATACTAAAAGCTAGATGACATTTGTAATAATTAAGACTGAATTAAATTGTACAACTCAGGCCAGGCACTTCCACACGTCCAGTGTTATCGCGAGATCTCGTTCCGTCAGACTAAAGGTGGTAAAATCTGCTGCAATCTAGTAGCAGTTGGAAATTGAATCGCACCACACAAAAGAAAAACTGTAAATGTTTGCCTGTAAACTCTCGATGTAAAAAAAGTGATGCAATGCTTTTAAATATTGATTAACGCAAACATTCCAATATTTCATAGTATCGATATTTTTTTTTACATCTCACACAAACCCGCATCATGGTCTGCTTGCTGTTTGAGGCACTTTAAAGGGGACAAAAAATGCAGTTTATCAGCAATCTAAAACTCTGCTTTGAATCTTCTAAGAAGTATAAGAAATGTTATTGTGGCTTTCGTCTGTCCCAGGAGCCCTGACACAGGCCATTCTAAACCCCCTAAATCAGCCTTGCTGTGAAATGAGCTGCTTACTGATTGGTTGGTTTAAACCAGAAAGCCTCACACACTGGAGACTGCAGATCGGAGGAGGAAAGGCTCCATGTTGTCACGTTTTTATGAGGTTTTTCAGAAAAGAAGTTTTTCTCTGGCATTTTTAAACTTTCTAATTTACATAAAAAGCAGGTCACACACGGTTTTGACTTCTTGGCATGCTACTTTTGACAACACAAAGCAGTCTTTATTCACAAACAACAAGAAAATGTTGGATTAGATTCTTTGCTCCCTTTAAAGCAAATAAAAAGACGTAATACCTTGCATTTCCCACACTTTGAGAGGAGCCATGGCATTGGTGCTCTCCAGGAGATGTTTGCGAAGCTCACCCAGCTGCTCCTGGAGCTCAGGATGAGATTTCCTTGAAAGAAGTAAAACAACAAAGCAATGTTTTAACTATAAACAAAGTTATGTGAAATATCTAGCAGGAATAAACGAGGATACAAGAGATTAAAACACTTTTACTGTGGCTAACCTGTGACTTACTTTAATGATCCGAAAAAGAAACCCTGGACTTCATCATTATCATCGTCCTCAGCGCTGATAACGGTCTTTGAGTCTACAAAGCGAGACATGTGTTTAATTGGCTCTTACACAGCAGGAACAGCACACACTGCTCGATAAATTCCCAACTGACCTTTTACTTTGGTGTCATCCACGGCTTTGTATTCTGTGCTTTTGATAGCCAACTCCACACCATACCCGGATAAAAGCATGTTCTGAGGCTTTGGCTTCTGCAGCAATTACAAGCAGAAGGATGGCTTTAATGCAATCAAACGAGCAGTTTTGTCTTTATGTTCACTTCTGCTTCAGTCACTGTGATAAAAACCATTAACACAAAGTCTTCCACATGCACACTAAGGTTTTCACACTGCTTTTCTTCAGAGTGGTGTAATTAAAATAGTGATGCACCGATAAGAATTTTTTGGGCCGATACGATATCCGATATTAAGATCACTGTCATGGCCGATAACCAATATTTGCAGATGCCGATATATACTTACATTAATGCTTCTAAAATCAGCAGATTTTGTATAGAATGAAAATTATTAAAGCTAGATTTACGTTATTATGTACACATTTACGGTTCTGAGATGATATATCGTCCATCCCTAAAAAAAAAACACTTTCTTTGACACAAATCCATTTCCAAGAATTCTTCTTTTATTATTGAACTTACAATAAAACTTACTAAAGGTAAACAATTAATTCAGTTCTGCTGTTAAAGCTGTAATAGTGAATCTACAGAACAAGCTAGGTTTTGAGCACTAATGCAGTCATGGAACAATCACCCTTCCCCTGGGGTATCTTCCCTGAGACGCTTCTACCTGAACTGGAAACCTGCGATGCCAGAGGAAACGAGATAATGCTAAACACCAGTCGTCATTTTCTAGGTCTGTACGTCTTCTGTTGTTCGTGACTTCAAATTATGTTTTTTTTGTTTTGTTTGGGAGTCTTGTAGTGTGTTCTAAAGTAGAAGTGGTAGAAACCGGCTGTCTCTGCTTCTCTGGTGTGATTAAGCAGCAAACCTCTCATACCAGTGGTGTTCTGTAGCTAAATATGCAAGTGTGTAAGAAATGGAGGACCCAGGAAAGTGTGGCAGTTTGGCAAGACCGACAACAAGATTGTCCAAAAGTTGCTTTTAGTCCGAAACGTGTTATTGGTAGAGGTTTTCAGACAAATGCGAGAGAACCACTTTACACATTTTTTTTTTATCTCCACAATATATTTATAGTTATGTTAGAATGTTGTTAAGGGGCATGAATAAAAAATTTTAAGCAAATTTGTTTTTCAAATTTGCTATTGCAGCTTTACATATAAATTCATAATCTATCTACTGAGTTGTAGAAAGTTGTTTTATGGACTACTTAAAAATGATGGTAAACCTGTCTCATGTAGTTTTGGGCAATAAAGAAAAACTAAACAAGCATGTTTTAGTGGGCAGGTGTGTGCTGGCTAGAATCTGGTGTTATAATTATCACAATACAGAGTAGACTATACGATATAACACGATATATGATGTATAAAATACTTCAAGCCAGACAATATTTGCAATTTTTAGGACTGAATTTAGTTGGAAAACTCAGGTCATACTCTTCCAAGAAACATCTAGTTTTATTGTGAAATCTCATTGTTCCGTCAGACTGAAGGTGGTAACAACTGCTGCCATCTAGCAGTCCGAGTTTGAATTGCACCACGCAAAAGAAAAACAGTAAATGTTTGTGTGGAAATTCCCAATAAAAATGGATGGACTGATTTTAAATACTGATTCAGAATCATAACACAGAATATTGCCATTTTTCAGTGTTTTGATATCTTCCTTCATCCCCAACGATAGATTAATCTGTCCTTTAACAGATGATTAATAATGAATTACCCCACAACCAGTAACTCTGATTTCTTTTATATTAAAAAAAAACTAAGAAGATAGATAATCATAAATCTCAACACTGCTAACACTGATCCAGGTTCTGTTGGAGGTTTCTTCCTGTTAAAGAAGAGTTTTCCTCTCTACTGTCGCTACATGCTTGCTAAGTATGGGGGTTGCTGTAAAGTCCCTGAAACAAGTCAGTGACTCGATGCAATCTGCTGGGTTACATAAGAAACGTTTAACTAATTAGAATAATGAACTGAACTCAAGGCACTGATAAGATGGTTCAATTGGAACCCTTACCCCTTCTTTCCACCGGAGCCGTCAGCAGCACGTTACTGCAGCAGCACGTCTTGCTCGCGTAAGCTGCTGCTTGGCCCTTCCCACGAGAAGCGAAGCAGCAGGGGAGCAGCTGTCACCGACAGAGCACGAAGTCACATGAGTGACCGTCAGTAAACACAACAACAAGCAGGAGAAAACTACAACATGGCTCCAAAAGGTTTGTGTTTTATGTTCTGTCCATTTTATAATCACCAATACGGACCTGAAAAACAAAGGAGACCGCTAGCTAGGTGATAACTTCTCACGGGGCCGCACAGTTAGTAACCTTTTTTAAAAGTAAAGCAACCGGAAGGCAGTACGTTTCTTTATTCTGAAAATCTTGGGAGCTTCTCTCCGTTTCCGCGTCCGATTTTCTGTCTTTCCTTCCCCAAAAATGTCGAACTTGACCCGTTTCAGAGGTGTTGCGCGTAGAAAATAGAACCGGCGCGTAAGGGCCGCGACATGCTGCTCCTGAGACGCGGCTGACTCGCGCTGCTGACGGCTCTGGTGGAAAAGGTTCTGTTGACCACAGCGGTTCCTATCAGCAGCTATGAAGTGTTGCTGACGGCTCCGGTGGAAAGAAGGGGTTACTTTGTAAATTGAAGTAACATCGGTAAACATGAATTTTGGGTAAAGATTGTGAGAAAAACACAATACTCACTGCTACAAAATGCCGCAGTACATATAGAAGAGCACCTTCTTCTGCCTTCTCTGAAAGCACCTTATGAAAAGAGTTAAACTTCTTGGTTCCAACTTCAGCGTAGAGAATCACAACCGGCACATCTGTTCTATTGGCTCCTGGGTACGTGTGATCATTCTTGTACAAGTAAGGTTTAGGCCTGCAAACATTTTAGGAATTTGCAGGAAAAAGATTCAGAGCCAATGAAAACATCAAAGGATACAATTTTTTTATTTTATTTCTTGGATTGAGATTATTGAGCAAAGAGGGGGAAAGCAGGTCGGTTCTTTGTTACCTGCCTGCAGCACCTTTGAGAAGCTTCTTGATGTCCTTGGTGCTGCAGCTATGTTGACCATGGACAGAGATAAAGGCAGGACAAGCCTCGGGCGGAGGCTCGTCACTGGCTATCTGTTAACAGCAGAATGAAGAACACGGCTCATTAGAACAACTGTAACTTTAGCCTTTTTATAGACGAAATCTGGTGTTTTATTCAGTCTTTATTACTATAAAAACAAAACTTATCTCAAAAATGTAAAAAAAACAACTATTCTCAACTAATATCTTACAATATATGTATTCAGATTGCTGAAGTGACCGTTTTTCTCTGTCAGTTTGAGACTTTCGTGTTATTATTTTCGTAAAGAGTTGCAGTTATCTTTTTTCCATATTTATGAGCCATGTAGCTTCAAACCAGCCTGTTATCTACATGGTCATCAGAATATAGGCATCTGAATAATTTACATTTTTGAAAACATGTCAGAGTGGCTTTAATATACATTTGTCTTGTGAATACCCCCCAGCATTACCTGAAAGCATGCGTTAGACTAACGTGTAAAGAGACATTTGCATAAATGAATCAAAAAGGCAAAAATGTATACAAGCTGCCTTACAAATATACACAAAAAGTTTTATCCACCTAGACCAGGGTGCTGAACTGCTTTAGAGGGACTGCACACCATCAGAAAACGTAACTCTGCCTCAAGTCATGATTTGAAAAATGCCATGAAAGTGGGCGTTACCAGGAGGCACGGAGTAGCATGGTCAAATGTGGGGAATTTCCTTCCTGGGAGGGAGGGGGAGTGGGAGGAGACTGTACCGATGACGTGAAATTGTCCCAATCACAAATTTTAAATTCAGCAGCCACAGTTCAACCCACAGGGGGCAGCACTAAAACGTTTTAAGACCTAGATTCTAGATTTGATCAAGTTTACACAAACAAGTCAAAAAATGCACAGAAACTGAAACATTGCATTTGTAAAGACCCAATTATACAATTTATTTTTATTTTATTTTATTTTATTTATTTTTTTTAAAGTCTATTATAACTTTCTAACTCTGCCACCTTATTTGTTATTGGTTGTGTTGTAGGAGGACCTGCTCGAAAACGAGATGTTACATCTCAAGCAGTTTATCCTCCTGAAAAACATAAGTGAAATAAATAAATAAATAAATAAATAAATAAATAAGTAAAAAATAAAAGTTATTTACACATTAAAGTCAGTTACAAGCCTTTTATGCATGCTAACAGCTCAGGGTTAAATTTTAACATTGTAATAACAATCCTTTGCGTACTACAGGTTTATTTACCTGCTGGGATGCATGAACAGCTGGTGAGTAGACCCGCATGGACAAAGCAAATTTGAGGAGATTAACCTGAAGATCGGTGAGGAACTGTCCCGCCTTCTTAATGATCAGGTTGTAATAAGAGCGCACTGATTCTAGAAGAGCAACATCCGTCATTAAGCTACCTAAAATGTGATAAATGCAAAACAAAAGAATGTGTATACCCTCTGAGCAAAACACTAAGAATACTGACCTCCATGCTTGTAAACAGTGAGTTCTTTCACCGTGTCGACAAACTGCCAGAATTTCTCATTCCCATCTTCTCCAATAAACTCACTGCAAATGACAACAAAGAATCATTCGATCCAATTCAATTGAATTGATGTGCATATCTCCGACTTGCAGTAGAGCACTATTCAAAAAAGTAAATGGGTGAAATTCTATTTAAACAATCGGACTCAATTTGATTCGTTTCAATTGTCTTAGTTGTGATTAGATCAGTCAGATTAAAACTTAGTTACATTCCAGTTTTGTGAATGAGCTCTACTGAACGTTTGACCCTAAAATGACTAAATGGTATGATTAAGAAGCTTAAGAAGCATCTGAGACTTGAACTTTTAACTTTAATTATTACATATTTGAAACTGTTCAAATCAGAATTTTCTGTATTTAAATAGTTCTGTGTGTTATAGCTCAGCTTATTTCTGGTGTATACAACTCACCCATGCCTTAAATAATTATTATTAATTATTCATATAGATAGAGTCTGTTGAAGGAGCAATTTAGTTTGGTTCCGTTTTTAATCATTGCAAATTATTTTGTGTATCTGCAAAATAAAGGTTCAAATAAACTTCAAGCCTTGAACCGTCACCTTATCATGGTGGAGGAGTTTGAGTGCCCTAATGATCCTAGGAGCTATGTTGTCTGGGGCACTTTGTGCCCCTGGTAGGGTCTCCCATGACAAATTGGTCTTAGGTGAAGGGTGAGACAAAGAACGGTTCAGAAGATCTTTCATGGAAGTAAAAACAAAGAGTCTTAGTACCCAGCCTGGAGGATTACCAGGATCCCACCCTGGAGCCAGGCCTGGGGTTGGGGCCCGTGAGCGAGCGCCTGGTGGCCGGGCCCAGCCCGAACCGGATACATGGGCTCATCCAACTGTGGACCCACCACCCGCAGGAGGAACATGAAGGGTCCAGTGCAGTGTGGATCGGGTGGCAGACCAAGGCGGGAGCCTTGGCGGTCCGATTCCTAGACAAGGAAACTGGTTTTTGGGACATGGAACGTCACCTCGCTGGCGGGGAAGGAGCAGGAGCTTGTGGCAGAGGTTGAGCGGTATCGGCTAGATATAGTCGGACTCACCTCGGCACATAGCATTGGCTATGGAACCCAGGTCCTTGAGAGGGGTTGGACACTCCTTTGCTGGAGTTGCTCCGGGTGAGAGGCAGAGGGCTGGGGTTGGCTTTTTGTTAGCCCCAAGACTCTCTGCCTGTGTGTTGGGGTTTACCCCGGGGGACGAGAGGGTAGCTTCCCTGCGCCTTCGGGTCGGAGAACGGGTCCTGACTGTTGTTTGTGCTTATGGGCAAAATGTCAGTTCAGAGTACCCACCCTTTTTGGAGTCCCTGGGACGAGTGCTAGATAGTGCTCCATCAGGGGACTCCATTGTCCTGCTGGGGGACTTCAATGCTCACGTGGGGAATGACAGCATAACCTGGAGGGGTGTGACTGGGAGGAACGGTCCGCCTGATCTGAATTCAAGTGGTGTTTCGTTATTGGACTTCTGTGCAAGCCGCAGTTTGGCCATAACGAACACCATGTTCGAACATAAGGATGCACATCGGTACACTTGGTACCAGGGCAGCCTAGGTCGCAGGTCGATGATAGACTTTGTAGTCGTATCATCTGACCTGAGGTTCTGGCAAATCCGGCGCTTCAGGAGAGGGAGGCAGCAACTCGCTCACACTGTTTACAGTGGGGATGGGGAGCTGCTGACGTCAACTGAGGCTATAGTCGGGCGGTGGAAGGATTACTTTGAGGAGCTCCTCAATCCCACCTACGCGCATTCCGAGGAGGAACACAGAGCCAGCAGACCTGGGGATGGACTGTCCAATCTCTGGGGCTGAAGTTGCTGAGGTAGTCAAACAACTACACAGTGGCGGAGCCCCGGGGTGGATGACTTGAATCTGCACTGAAGGGCCTTGAATGTCTGTTAGTGCTTGTTTTGTCTTCTTAAACTTTTGCTTTGCACTATCTTCCATTGGGAAAAGAGAAGGAAACTCATCTGTGAGTAATCCTGTTGTCTAGTAGCTCCGGTTTGGGCCAACTGAAAACAATAAGTGCAATGACTGAAAGAACGAGATCGCGGATACAAGCGGCTGAAATGAGTTTCCTTCATGGGGTGGCCGGGCTCAGCCTTAGAGATAGGGTGAGGAGCTTGGACATTCGGGAGGGATTCGGAGTAGAACCGCTGCTCCTCCGGATCGAAAGGAGTCAGTTGAAGTGGTTTGGGCATCTGGTCAGGATGCCTCCTGGACGCCTCCCTGGGGAGGTGTTTCGGGCATGCCCTGCCGGCAGGAGGCCCCCGGGTCGACCCAGGACACGCTGGGGAGGTTACATCTCCAATCTGGTCCGGGAACGCCTTGGGGTCCTGCCGGAGGAGCTGGTGGAGAAGGCCGGGGAGAGGACGGTCTGGAGCTCCCTAGCTGGGATGCTGCCCCCGCAACCCGGACCCGGATAAGCGGAGGAAGACGAGACGATAAACTTCAAGCCCACTGGGAGCTAAACCTGTTTTTAAAATCTGATGTATTTCGGTTTGGATTTATTCAAATGTGACAATATTTTAATAATTAGGCTTCTGGGGGGGAAATCTCATAAATAAGACAACAATGTAACCTCTAAACGCTAACTTTAGCTCTTGTTCTGTCTAAATGTCTGATATGAGGGTTTTTTAGAGGAAGTGTACTGTACCTTGTCTCCAAGAGGAAAGGGGTCATGCTCCATTTGGCTTTGAGGCTGGCAGTGACACCTTTGGGTGGTGTTGAAGCACCTGGGTGTACGCTGAGCAGCACCAGTGACAGCACCACAACCCTCTTCATTTCCCCAAATGAACACACCGTCCTGTTTTAGGTGCCACTCAGCTAGTGCCACGTAGTAACTTAGTTATTTCTTTAATAATGAAAAAGTGTAAATGCAAGCGTTCAAAACTGTTAAATTCTACTTGTGGTGGGCGCTAACAGCACGAGAGACTAGTAGAAGTCTAATAAAATAACAGTTGCTTCAGGGAAAGCGTAAAGACTAAAGTTAATTATTGTCTTAATAAAAGCGTAAATTCGTGATTTCATCAAGACAGACTACAAACACAGCTTACTACAAACAGGTTACTCTGCAAATCAATCGCATGTAGCTTCTGAAAATTGTGTTATAGATAAATTAGCTCTCACTCTGTTGTGGTGATGCTGACCGCTTCCATACAAAGCAAAAGGGGGCTTCACGGAGGTGTTTTGGGCAGCTAACTTTAGCTAGCTAGTAGCTACAGACACTGGCAGACCGTTATTCGTGTCATGAATAAGGACGAAACAAAACAAAATCAACAGTGCACTTCATATAATCTTTTGCTGATGTCCTATCAATTGTTTCAAACAGTCACAATGAATGATATTTAATTCATTGACAAAATAAAAGCTAGCGCAAACCGCGGATTTTTTTCAGGCAACAAAGTAGACAGCTAAACAGACAGTGGCTGATAAGTAAACATTTTTCGCCTTAACATATACGCATGCTTTAGCTACGCTTCTGCGATTAAAACGATTAGGTGTGCGTCGGAAACGTGTGCTGCCTGACGCTTCCTGTTGAATAAAAGTCGTAGATCTGTAGAGTGGTAACGAACTAGTAGTAATTTCATATCATATCATATCATATCAAATAGCATAAAATTAACCCTTACCCAACGCTTAAATTTTCTAACGTTAAAGTCATTAGAGCACAAAAAATGCTCTAATGTGAGGTAAGGGTTAAATACACACTTTAATTACAATATTAATAAGAACAGGTACAAATAAGTGTTTCAATTTTGAGTTGGGGATCATTTTTGTTTTTAACCAGAGTGAATTATATTAAGAACTGAACCAAAGTAATCTGGTCAAAACTAAATGCTTCAAATACTTGAGACTTGAGATATTTCTCTAATGTCAGGATGTGGTGGTTTTGCATTTGGTTTTGCAGTAAATGTTATACTGTGGTTTATTTTTATATATTTGTTTTGCTTTATTTTTTATTTTTTACTCATCACACCTGTCATTTTGCTAATTACACACCTATTCCATGTGCTAATCACACCACAGTTTAATCTCCTCCTTGTATATTTATTAGTTTCCTTATGGCAAGTCCTCTTGCCATCCCAGCTGTTTAGAATAGAATAGAATAGAATATAAAATCATTTATTAGCTCCTTTTTATTGTCCACCTGTAATCCAAGGTTTGGTTACAATTTTTAATTTGTTTTATTTAGTTTTTCTAGTAATTTTTAAGTTTTCATTTCTTTATACAGCATATTTCTTTCTCCACAGCCTGCATTAAAATGCGACAAGGAAAGTTTCTAAAACTGCACCTTTTAATGAAAGGCAGCAGAGAATTGTGTAAAGTTATACTTACAAATGCACAATGAATTCTCAAGTTTCAGTGTTGGGTTCGATTTGTAAGGGAGGGAAACTCTTTGATGTTAAAAAGCACTCTGGCAATTAACGTCTATAGACACACTTTTCGGTGCAGGGTCATGTTATCTCTCATTGATTTGTGACCAATAAAATGTTTATTAAATAACCAGTTGGAATGACTTCTTAAACAAGCTTGGGTACTTTTCAACTGAAAAAAATATGAGTTTAAAACGTACAGAATGCAAGAAGCATGGTGCTGCTTCCTGTTTCAATATTTAAAGTTCACACACTGGATGCGCAGGAAGTTCTGGACTGCGGAAAAACTGATTTTTTTACATGTTAATTCTTATCTCTCTTTCTGGCTTTGGACGCCATCAAAACAAGTTCCTTATGGGACTGGTGGATGGGGTGGGAGACCTCTCCCAGTCCAATCCAGACGAGCGCATAAGGCGTATTTTCCGTCTCGGATGCAGCAGCAGTAGCAAAAGCAGCAGCAGCAGCATCCTTTCAGACGCTCTGTTTCACAGCCGGAGTCAGAGCGTCTCAGGATGCTGCCGGAACGACAGAACCAGCTCAGCTGTCCAAGACACAACACACCTCTGTTCGGTTAAACAAACCAGGGTTTATCCTGCATGGGATCAGATTTAAACCACATCGGGTGTGGGAATCACTTTTCTTTTTACTGATTGCTTCCTTTTCATCGGATTATGGGAGTCGTCGGCACGGATGCAACTCCTCATCGGCTCCAGAAGTTGGACAGTCCCATCTCTTGGTCTGGACATTATTTTAAAAGGTGCACACCTAGATGTGGTGATCAACACGTGGCTCTTAGATGAAAGGCACCTTTTATCCATCTGAGGCATGAAGGGATATTGATCTCCGAGCTGCAGCCTGGCTGGTACCGATTATTTACAGTAATGGAATGAAGATCCTAGCCTGAGATAATGGATGAGAGATCCAGTAAGCTCATTTTGGTCCCTGTCTTAGCTGTTCTTTTTGTTATGATTGGGTACCAGTACATTTGTCCCGCGGGCAGCAATTCGTGCCACTTGAAGTCCGACGAGAGGTTCAGAGGGGTGAGTCTGCTCTCCTACCCCTACCAGGATGATGACTTCTACATAGATCAGGACCTGGACGAGGACAGTCCTCCAAAGCATCCGTCCAAGTTCAACTTCTCAGAAAGAGACCTGGACAGGCACGTGGAGTTCAACATCAAAGGGGACGACGTGATCGTGTTCCTGCACATCCAGAAGACAGGGGGGACCACTTTCGGGCGCCACTTGGTGAGGAATATCCGACTGGAGCAGCCGTGCGACTGCAAGCCGGGGCAGAAGAAGTGCACCTGTCACCGGCCGGGGAAGGAGGAGTCCTGGCTCTTCTCCCGGTTCTCCACCGGCTGGAGCTGCGGTCTGCACGCAGACTGGACCGAGCTCACGAACTGCGTGCCTGTCGTTATGGACAAGAAGGACGCCCAGAGGAATAAAAGGTATAATGCATCAGAGTCTCGTCTTCAAATTAAAGACAAGGAGATGCTTTCTGCAACCAAACAATAAAAAACAAACAAAAAGAAAAAAAAATCACATTTTAGCGTTGCTTTATGGTAGATGTAATATAAAATCATTTTTTAATTTGCTCATTCCTGCAGAATCAGATACTCACGTTGACCTTATTGTTCCTACAAACTCACCAAATAAATCAGGAGACATCCATCCATCCATTGTCTGAACCCGCTTTGTCCACATTGGGTCGCGGGGGGCTGGTGCCTATCTCCAGCGGTCAATGGGCAATCAGGCGGGGAACACCCTGGACAGAGAGCCAGTCAAATCAGGACACATTTTATACAAAAACAATTTGGGAATTGGGAATAAACTATTTCAGGTGTTTCTTCCCAATTATTTTATCGCACTATTATTTTATAGCTTTACAACTCTAAATTCCACGATGCATGAGTTTGATGCTATCTGCTATAAGAGCACCACTTAATTTGGCATTTCGTGCTGTTTTAACTGCACAGGAAAGACATTTGCACTTGCTAATGTAAAAAAAATGCAATATGAGTCCTAAAAAGGCACACAGCAGCACTGACTGCATAAGCAAGTGTGTTTGAGTGTTTTCAGCTCAGTAAGCATATTTAGGCTCACTGGTTTTTGAAATTGCATTACAGTTCATTAAAAAAGCAAATTAAAAAGTCCATTTGTCATCAAAATGAAAGAAAAATGTCTAAATTCTGGACTGCAGTGTCCAATCATCGTACAGGGAAGTGTACAAGTACATGATTCATTATTTCTGCTGTGCCAAGTGTTTTCTTTTTCCTTTTTTTTAGTAACTCGGGAAAGTGCTTGCTGGATGCGACAGCTCTTCATGTCACAGCTGCAGCATCTGTTCTGCGCTTATCTGTCCTCTCGTTGCTTATTCTTCAGTGGACTCCCGCTGCATCTATTCTGAGGTTATTCTGCCTCCAATGAGGCTGTTGGCAGACACATCCCGTTAGATCCCCTCCTCTAACCAGCCACTCCATAGAAAGCTCATTAGTGAGGTGACTAATAGCGTTATGCAAATGCAATCTTCATAGTAATTTTGTGTATGAGCAAAGCCTTCATTAAAATATCCACAAGGTCAAAGTGAAAAAAAGCACCCTTGCACATGCCACTTGCTGTTCTGAACCAAACGATGCACACGTCAAATTCAAATCTCCCTCTCTTATTTGTGGGTGGAAGCTTCTGGGATGGACTGGTTGACTTTCCAAGCTCTTGAGGTGATGGTAAGGAGAGGTCAAGGAACAGCGAGGTGGCGTGCCCCGCGTGGCCTTCTCAGCTGAGCAGGGCGTGCTGCACGGCCTCGTAAAGGTCAGGCGTGTCAGGCTGGGTCAGCGTACTTGTCCTGCCGAGCGGCTCCTCCGGAGTGTGCTGTCAGTCAGGGGTGAAGTCAGGCAGGCAGGTCGGCTCTCTGCTGGTGCTTTTAGGAGAAACAAACCTCTAAGTGCTTGTCATCTTAAGTTGCTTTGTGGAGAGCTTCTTGGTATCTGCTGCTGCACTGGCTCACTGTGTAGGTTTTCCTTCCAGGATCTGCAGATCTGAGCTGAGGAAGGCTGCAGGAATTAAGTCTGATTGTTACAGGCCCATTATCTAACTCTCAGTGTAACACAAGGGGCACAAAACAAAGAACTGCTTTACAAAATGTATTTCAATGCAAAAAAAAGGTCTGATTTCATCATGTCTCCAGAAGGCTGAGGAATAAAACGGCTGCACTTAGGAAATGTTTTTAAATGGCATCCTATTAAAATCAAAACAAGCTCATTTGGTAGCTTAGCTCAGCATTTTTAAACAAATTTCCTATCTTTTGGAAATATTTCTCGCTGGCATTAAATTAGATAACTTTAGCTCAGTCGGTAAAGAAAAAAACAACCTGGTTATAAACCATAGCCTGAGGAGTTTACAGTATGAGCCTTGAATAAATCAGTGTCAGTGTTGGGCTGTTTCCAGATGACACATGCAGATGTTAATGCACGATGTCCCATAGTCAAAGAACTAAATATTGAAAAGTGTTGAAAAAGACGATATGTTCTGCTATTGAGTTATTACCTTGTTGTAGCCAAATTTATTTGATTTAATTTTGATTCTGAGGAGATTATGTCTGCAACAAACATTACCATAAAGGAAAAACATGCAGCTGCAGCTCAGCGACACTTTTAAAAACAGATCAATAAAATCAGGATGCAGCCTTCGAAGCTTTATCTTTTGGGAACGACATGCAGCCCGTGCATTTGTTCCTCAGTTCCTCTTATGTTGCTGCTGCAAAATGATTGCAAATAGCACCACAAACTAACAGAACATAAAAGAACTTCTAGCGGTAAACTCTCTCTAGCCAACAGAAATTGAAGTGTTTTCTTTTAACTGATTGCCTAATTCCTTTCACGTTTGAAGGAAGTGGCTTGTCAGTATGTGATCATACATCTACAATCATTTTATGTTCATTTAGTATTAATATTTGAAATTTCCATGTTGTTTCAAGTCCTTACATCAAAACATTTGATCCCTGCATCCAGAAAAATGAGCTACAGATTACAAATAAATGTATCTGAACTAATAAATAAACATTTGTCATTAAGTGACCTAAATCACATTTAGATTTATTGTACAAAAACATGTTTTCATTTAGTTTATAAAACCGAGGTATCTAATAAATAGATGCAACAATGGAACACAAAACATAACAAGAGCCCCCTAGTGGCTGGCTTCAGCATGAGTTTTAAGTCCCGCCTCATCCATGTAAAGGAATGGAGCAGAAACGCTTTATTCCAATGTTTGTTAGGGCAGTATTTTGTTGTTTGTAATGTAACTTAAGTACAAATCCCCATAAAAATAAATACATGTCCTACAATGATAATAGTAAGGTATTCTGAAGACTCCTGATGAGCATTTTTTTTACTTTACTTTTATTTCACATTAAAACCTTATCAGATACTTTTTGCAATTTAATGTTACAATAAAGTTTAAATCTGTATCACCTAACTTGAACAAGTCTGGATGGTTCATCTACCAGTGAGATGAGACAAGTGTGAATATTTGATTTGGAAGTCCATTCTCGCCACGTTGACAAAAATAAACTTGTGTTTCATAATTATGAATGAGCTATCTCATAATTATGAGATATGATCCTGTTATTATGAATTAGTATATCATTATTAAGATGAATATGGATGCAATGGAAGCACATTCCTGCCAAATCTTCTATCTCACAATTATGACTTATCAATATTTTAAAATTATGAATTCGTTATTTCATAATTATGAGATCATTTTTTTTATCTAAGTGGCAGGAATGTGCTTCCATAGTGTCCATATTAATCATTTCCCTAATACAAAAATATCCTACATTTATATTTACTGGGCTAATTTTGGTATATTCTAGCATTTTTATCACTTACACAGTCTTCATTAGCTGGTTTCTTGTTGCCTAACGGTGAGGTTCCCAACTTTTTTCCTTCGGGATTCCTTGCCAGTGTCAAAGACAAGTCTAGACCCCCAACTCCAAGTCCTACCTGCATTCACAGACTAAAAGCGAATAAATCCAAATTTCATACAGACAAAAAGAATAATAACCCTTATACAGAGTTTTGATTATGCTGTGGCAGTGTGAGCGTCCTGTCACAGTGTCCCGATTGATCATGTGCCCTTTGGCTGACTGGTTAGCGCGCGTGACTCTCACCTGGGAGTCTGGGGATCGAATCCCACCTGGGCCCTTGTTTCTCCACCTTGCCATAATAAGTTTGGGTGTGTTATTGGGATTTTATAAATGTAATTTTTACAAATAGATGCTTACTAACCTCAAAACCTCTGCACAAACAAAATTGTGGGACCCCCTTGGGGGTCACCAACCTTAAGTTGGGAACTTTTGGCCTATTGCACAAGGAGACCAATGTCTGTTTTCAAATTTGATACAACCTAAATGAGAGTTTTTGTATCATTTCACAGAAACTAATGATGGATTATAAATTGAATTCACACACACATAACTGAAACAGCTGTCAGTCTTCTGTCAGGTGAAATTAAAGTTCATGAGTGAAATCAGGTAATTGCTGTTGCTTTTTAACATAAATAACGAGTGATCGCCATGCTGTATGGGAATTATCTGCTCGGTTTTAATCATTCTTTATTTATCAGTGACTTTATGCCACCTCATTAGCAGACGAGCAAGTTTTGTCTTTCTAAACTAAACGTGCTTTATCAAAACTCCATTTTTAAACACCTGTCTTTGAAGTAACTTGTTTAAACTTCATATTTCTGTTTCTTTTTCGACAGTCAGACCAGAGCTGTAATAAACTGTCGCTGCTCACATGACACCCCAGTAATGTTACTGAATCCTGGTGGCTACATAACATTTCATGTCATCTTTTATTCATGTTAACTGAAGCAAAGATAGCTGCAGTTACAACTTAACTTGCTGTGATCAGTGAAGCGAGCACGCCTCTCTCCATGTGTGACATCCTGTAATGCTTGGCGTCTTCCTCAGCATGTGGGAGGGACTCATTATCAACCTGACTCAAATGAACCTGGATGCACAGAACAGCCATCGCCCGACAGTGATCTTCTCTGCTTTTGTATGTGCAACACGAATATCTAAAAAAAAAGTCATACAACGTTCCTGAAAGGGGGAAAACCCCAGACTGCTGTTATCCAATTAAAGAAAAGACATTAGTCAAATTGATCCATTACAGTAAAACCACAAAAAGTCTCCCGTGGGACCATCAGAGCCGTTTGACTCTGAAACTTGTGAAATTATGAAAACTTTGGACTCAGGAGGTAGCTGCATTTCAAAATTCAGACATTTTCTTCAGAGGAGATTCACTTCTTCCCCCCTGCTGCGTGTAATTGGCTTCATGGCAACGGAGAAGACAAAAAGTGTTAATTAAACACACTGACTAGTGAATTGATGTATTTTGTTATTGCACATCATGGGCTCCCACTTCCCAGCTCAGTGAGGAGG